AGAGATGCACAAAGAAGATTGTCAATTCTTCGCACGACCACATCTCCTCTCTTTTTTTATTTCTTTTCTCTTTCAGAATGAAAGCCGCTTCTTCTCGTTCTATGAAAAACCTTTTTAAAGAAAAACTATAATCACAAAAATTGAGGGATGAGCTTTGAGAAATGAGCTATGGAGAATTGAGAAAATTTTTTGATTGCTATGGAAAGTTATTCATAGACTAGACAGGAAAATAGAGGTGTTTTGACAAAATTTTAAAACAAACAAAGATGTGTAATATGATTTTAGTCTAGTGCTTGATATTCAAAATCAGTACTAGTTGGTGTTAAAGTCTTAGTAGAGTAGTTGTTGTTACTAAACCTGGGTTACTCTCGCTCTTCCAAGCACACTTTTTAGGAAGCACAGTAAGTCTTACAATTCTAAGCCTAGAACGGATCAAAACCAGAACACCCAACGAAAAATCGGCTGATGCATCGACCCCACCGGACAGGGGCAATTCGAAGAAATTGTATTGTTTGATCACTAGAAATTGTAGGCGATCAAACCAGAAATGAAAAAAGAACACAAGAAAGAAATCAGATGGACTTGAAAAAGATTCAAAAAAGATAAGAGAAAAGGCATCACTTTGGCTACTCATTGAATTCGGAGAGTAGCAGGAAGGGAATTTGGAGTTGACGGGGAATTTAGAGTTGAAGAGGAATTTGGGGTTGAAGAGGAATTTGAGGTTGACGGAGAATTTGGAGTTGAAGGGGAATTTGGAGTTGAAGGGGAATTTGAAGGGTTAACAGTGACATGGAGTTCATTTACCTGTAACCTGTTCATTACCTGTAAATGAACTTAATTTAATGTACTTGGCTTATGCATGTACTTGGCTGATGTACTTTGTGCTCATAAATTGAAACACGCCTCATTCTGGCTTCGTGATGGTTTCCAAAATATTTTAAAGTATTAAGAGCAATGTTACAATGAACCGATTGACCTATATTTCTAGATACTGCAAAATTGTCAAAGTGTAAACTTATGGAAAATAAATAAAAGGAATTCAAAAGCAAAAAAAAAGCAAAAAAAAAGCAAAAAAAGCAATAAAGATAACAGAAATGGGAAAACTTTATAGGAAAAGATTCAAGAAATGAAAATTTTAAAATATATAGATAATCTAAAGAAATTCTTTTCCTAAATTGAAATCTTGATTTGGAACACATCTAGAGTAGACATGTCCATTTTCGAGTTTTGGCGGCCGGGTCGGGCCAGCGGGTCGGGTCAAGCTCAAAATTTTTGCCGGGTCGGGTCAGCGGGTCGGATCGCGCCAAAAATTTTTGCCGGGTCGGGTCAAGCTCAAAATTTTCGCCGGGTCGGGTCAAAATATCAATGCAAATTTACCAAATGTTTTTCAAGAAATGTTATTAACATAGGTATTTATTCAAACGCAACAATGAAATAGGCAAACAAAAATTAGCAACAACAAACTACTTATCAATAACTGCTCGAATAACTACAATCCGATCCATAAGAAACAAACTCACTAGTGCTATTAGAAAAATCACTGCTTGAATCCGATCCTTTTTCGATGTGCTCTAGAAACTTTGGTGCTCTAGAATCTAGAACACCAAAGTTGAAACCTAGAAATTTTCAAAGTTACTTTTCATTGCGATACCGTCGTTAAATCGTGTTGAAAGCGTGTTTTTTTGGAATTTACGCAAAAAAATTGGCCCAGAAAAGTGGAATTTTGAATAATTGCAACTGGGATATCTTAGGAGAATTGATTAGGTCAAAAGACAAAATTTCTTGACCTATCAACAAAAAATTGACAAGTCGAAATTGTCCTGGTAGAGAAACCATCCAGGAGCCATGTGATCCTGGGCAAATGGAAGTAGACATCCTTCTAGTATTTCCATATAGCATTCATGGTTGACTGGACGAGGACGAGCGGACCTGCCACATTTTTTGTCATCGCCCCTAGAAAAAGACAAACTAATGCATGTATTAAAAATAAGGCTTACCAAAGCACATGCTTGATCCTCCACCGGCTCGCATTGTAGGTCGCACATATTTAAGGAGTATTCGCTTTCCAATGGGTCGTCTGATCAAATGGTTGCCTTTTGGAGAAAAGATATCCACTTTTGTTTCATCGACAAAAATCACGTTGTCTTTTTCTAGGGGCGATGACAAAAAATCTGGCAGGTCCGCTCGTCCTCGTCCAGTCAACCATGAATGCTCGCCAGTATATGGAAATACTAGAAGGATGTCTACTTCCATTTGCCCAGGATCACATGGCTCCTGGATAGTTTCTCTAATGGGTCGCACAGTGAATCTCTCAAATGGAGGAAAAGCTCGCCTCCCTGGATGGATTGCCCTTAATAATGTTTTGTTGGTCAAGGTGTCCCCTATGTCGCCTGATTTAAACATTATTGAGAATTTATGGGCTTACGTGAAGACAAAGTTACGAGGAAAAGACTTTCACACAAAAGTTGACTTATGGTTGTACATACGAAAAGTTTGGAGCTCAATTCGACCAGCAATTCTTCACGAATTAGTCGACTCAGTGCCTAAACGACTTAATGAAGTGATTTTGGCGAAAGGTGGACCGATTGAATATTAATTTTTGATGTTTCTGCATAATGTTGCAAGACTTTTGCACCCAGTTTTTCGGGTGCAATCTTCTTTTAGTAATTTTGTCATTTACTTTTTCGTTTTACGCTGAACTTCAAATTAGTTTTTGTAAATAAAATGTGCATGTATTATTCTAATTAACACGTTGACGACAATGGCGTTTTTGCACAAACAATCGCATGGGACAACGTTGTTTTTTTTCGACAAAAAATGTCACCTGACATCAGGTGACAATGTCCCACAGAGTTCTTTTTTTTCAAACTTAAAATTTTTGTGAAAGTTTAAAATGATTATTTGATAATTATGAAATAACAATAATCTAGAAAGTTTTATTCATTGGTGATGTTTCTAAGTAGGAGATAACTAGCACCAACTTTTGCAGGGCCACTGACTTCTAGTAATCGCGTGCTAGAAGTCAGTGGCAAAAACGGAATTCGGATTCTGAATCCTCTCGAAGAGACGCTTCAAATAAGCTATAGCTCGTAGCAAAAGGTCACAGACCCAGCTGACCACTCCCTTGTTAGTTGTAGTTCTTATTGTTCTTATATCTATTATGTTATAAAAAAATTAAAATTTTAATAATCAACGGTTAAATCGACATTTTCCGGGACCAAGTCGAATATAGATACTACCCTACTTGCTTATTTAATATCCATCATCAGAAAACATAAATATGCACAAAAAAATCAATTTTGGCACTGTCACCTGACATCAGGTGAAAATGTCCCAGGCGAACGAATATGTGTCAGACAGCTGAGGTGACAATGTCCCAGGCGAACGAATATGTGTCAGACAGCTGAGGTGACAATGTCCCAGGCGAACGGTGACAGCGAAGGTGACAATGTCCCAGGCGAACGAATGTGTCAACAGCAGAGGTGACAATGTCCCAGGCGAACGAATATGTGTCAGACAGCTGAGGTGACAATGTCCCAGGCGAACGAATATGTGTCAGACAGCATGAGGTGACAATGTCCCAGGCGAGCGAATATGTGTCAGACAGCTGAGGTGACAATGTCCCAGGCGAACGAATATGTGTCAGACAGCATCAGGTGACAATGTCGTCAACGTGTTAAAAACAAAAAAAGCCCTACGAACGGGTGGCATTTTCTATAAAAAATCTCATCGATTTTTGAAAAAGTGATGTTGCAAGACTTTTGCTCGGCATTGTATCTAAATAAAAGACGAGAATCAAATTGACAAATTTTGAGCGTGACGAAGAAACTCATGAAATGCATCTACGTTTTACTCTCATTGGGTTTTTGTGAGTGTGATGTTTTATGCAAGGCTTTATAGAGAAATTTCAGAAAAAGAAAAAGAATGTTTCAAACAAATCAAGTACCAAAGCCATTTAGGATAGTCAAAATCAAGAAAAAACTTTTTGATCAACGTTTCCTTTTGCAATTTCGTTGGCATCAATCTATCATTTTTCATTGAAAAAAATTTATTATCTTATAATGACATTTATTTATTTGGTTTCAGAATTCAAATTTCTAAAACTGATTATTCAATATTTAGTTGGTTGCTTGCAAATGGTCACCCGGAAACGCGTTTGCCAGGGAGTACCATTCCGTTTGTAGAGGTACGCTTCCGCTTTGTCCCATGGAGAGATCAGTGATCAGAAGCTGTCTTAAAACTAATATGTTGATTAAATGATGGATGAGACAAAAATGAACTACACAAGACAGGCTGATGGCGAACCGAACAATGGAGGAAACATTACTTGCACACAATATTCATTGTTTCCTTCATTGTTCGATTCGCCATCAGTCCATCTTGTGTAGTTCATTTTTGTCCCATCCATTCACATAAAATCTGTCTTTCCTGGTCCAGTTTAAAAAAGATTTACCAATTTTATTTGTATTAATGTTACAGTTTGAAGCGTATTTGTGCGGAATCCGCATTTTTTCAGAAATTCAAAAAAATCGCATACAGGGAAAACGGCTGAACAGTCGACAGATAGTCCGAAAATTTGAATACTCACCTAACTTTTCATGCTCTAGCTTTTATTTATAAACATCGAAATAGGTTTCTGTGGAAGAAAGTGGTCAAATCTACTACTATCTTCATTTTCTAACTTTCTTCATTTTCACTTCCTCAACTTCTTAACCTCTGAAAAACTCCAAAAACGAAGCTTTTTCTGAATCTGACAACAACCACTTTTAGAGAGTCGAAAAGCCGTTTGAATAAAAAAAACTGTAAGTTAATTAGTACATTGATTGTTTCTAAAAAGTGGAATGAAGAACTGTTATCAAGACAAAAATTCAACCTAATTTCCTGTTTTTGAGTACCGTAATCTCAAAGCTGACACAATTTAAATTAAATCAATTTGAAGTCTTTCAATCCAACTGAAAAAGCACATTGACTACTCGATTTGTAAAACTTTTATACAACTATATCATGCTTTCTTTACCGTAATCAACATATTCGTTCCCCGAAGCTCTTCTTGGAAGGAAAAACCATTTTCGGTGAACTTTTGACCATTGAACGGCTTCATGGATCATATAACCGGGTGACTTGATTCTCACCGATTCTCGAACCTAGAGCTTTTGTTTTTCAAATGAAGAGTGAAAAACTTTACCTTTCGATAGACAGATGCCCATTTATTTATAAACATCGAAATAGGTTTCTGTGGAAGAAAGTGGTTAAATCTACTACTATTCTTCATTTTCACTTCTTCAACTTCTTAACCTCTGAAAAACTCCAAAAACGAAGCTTTTTCTAAATCTGACAACAGCCACTTTTAGAGAGTTGAAAAATCGTTTGAATAAAAAAAACTGTAAGTTAATTAGCACATTGATTGTTTCTAAAAAGCGGAATGAAGAACTGTTATCAAGACAAAATATTCAACCCAATAAAATTCCTGTTTTTGAGTACCGTAATCTCAAATGTGACACAATTTGAAGTCTTTAAATCCAACCGAAAAAGCACATTGACTACTCGATTTGCAAAACTTTTATACAACAAATATGTAGTTTATTTTGTCCTTTTACAAACAAGATATGGACTTGTGGCTCCTTCGCTGTCCTTGTTATCGTAATGCCAGATTCCTGGAGTGGCGCATATGCTGCATTGTTCCCAATTAAACATCTGAAAAGGTTCAAGTTTGCCTAGTTAAATCAATAGTTAACTGGCATAGCTATAAAGAAACTTGTTAGTACAGAAATTTCACTATTTCTATCTTTTCTAGTTCTCGCTGACCAAAAGATTGTCTCCTTCTTGTCTCTGTTGATCACTGCAATCTTCGTGGCGATAGTCATCGGGAGTTCCGTCACTCCAAACGATCTTTCCATCATTCTGAAACAAAAAAACAACTTTTAAACAAAACAACTAAAGAAATTCGTACCCAATGCCCGCCAAGAAGATAATAAGCCATCCAGACTTTATTATGATCGGTTTGACAGGAAGATGGGCAGCAAAGATCTAGATTTACAGCATTGTTAAAAGATTGAACTTGAGTTTGTCAACTCAACTCCAATTTTTAGCCGAAAGACACAACGAATGCAAATAACCATAAGTACCATTTTCATTATCAGAAAGTAAACAAACTTTGTATGAAAGCATTTTCTCTAGCGTGATGGATTGACGCAAGATGACCGCCTTGATCCACACAATACTCTTCACCATCATCGAAAAATTTATCGAAAATCACCTAATCAAATTTTTGGTTATCAGTTTTAATATCAAACCAAGTATTCAGATCCATTAAAGTATTGCCAACCCTGGAGGCAATTGTAGAGAGGTTGTTGTTTAGCTAAAGCAGTGATTAGCTTTTGATTTGATTAGCTAATTAAATAGTTTTACCGTAATTAGAGATACAGTTTAACTTTCTATCAAAAAGAATTGTTTCTAAAATGTTTCTTGTGCTTTAAAACCAACGTGGAAGACACTGAAGACTTGGCGTGGTTGTGAGAGATGATGGAGTGGTGGAGATTGATGGAGAAGCACAGAGGAATTGAAATTGATTGGAGCAAGCTGTGATCTTCCACATCACATCGTTTGTATCCAAGTAAGCGCAATCACCAGGATCATCTAAGAAATGGAACTATTGATCTAAAGATTTGCTCTACTTGGTGATGAAAATCGTTGATAATTGAAAGGAGTGCCATCACTCCAGGTCCACGTTCCATTCGAGCTTCGAGTTGCGCCAAGCCAGGCCTTGTCACTACCAGTCATATCTAGAAATAGACTATGAATTAAGTATGAGCTAAATTGGTTGTGTAAGTCGGTCAGTCTTGATTTTGGAGTGATCTTCAACGGGTCAGTCTGGTTTTCTGGTTTAAAGCTTGATTGATTGACTGTTGAAGTCAATCCATCAAGCTCCAGAATTACTAGAAGTATCCAAAATGCTAATTTCGCGAGGATTTTAACTGTTATAATGAGCCGTTCACAGGCTACCCGTAAAAGGGCTGAACTAAGATATGCATGGCTTAGTCTTTAACATGAGCATATCGTCACTGGCAGGATCAACCAGATATGAAAACAAGTTGCGATCTCTCAGAGTCATATCTAGAAATAGACCATGAATTAAGTATGAGCTAAATTGGTTGTGTAAGTCGGTCAGCCTTAATTTTGGAGCGATCTTCAACGGGTCAGTCTCGTTTTCTGGTTTAAAGCTTGATTGATTGACTATTGAAGTCAATCAATCAATTATCAATTATTGATTGACTTCAACAGTCAATCAATTATCGACTAAATCTGAATAAAAAATTGCTTTGGCTTAAAGCTACTACTGTATTCAAGTCTCACTTTTATCCATTTTACTCACAAAAATGTTTTCAATCATTTTTTAAACAGAGAAAGATTTCCATTTGAATTGCTGGGCCAGATCAATCCGGTTCCGTTTTTGAAATCCGACCGAAAATCAAAACTAATCGACTTATGAATGACTTATTAAGAAAACAAACTTGTTTGCACGTTTGCAGTGATACTATTTTGAAAAGCATTGTGCACGGAGAGAAGCTCGCCACCAAGCTGATTGCAAAGAGTTTTTGCGACAGGCCAACTCTCTAAAAAGTGTTTCGGAGTATTTCAAAAAGCATACGATCAAGAATTGTCTAATTTTCAATTGAATTCTTACCTGTTGTGTTCAAATGGAGTAAGCAAGAGTCTAGATCGCTTTGATATGTGAAATATGAAGGGCAAACATCAGCCTTCAAAAAGCCGAATAAGAGAAAGAAGTTCACAGCATATAAAGTTCTCATTTCAGGATCTTCTTGTTTCAAATTGATTTTCTACTTGCTTTCTTAGATTTCCCGGTTTCTTATCAAAAACTATAAACCAGACAGCTTCTTTTTGGTTGTTCGTTGCTCATGAGAGAAAGGATCGTTCAATGAAGGGGTAACGTTTCATAGAATTAGCATTATATCTGACTTTTTTTGGCGGCCGACCTTTACATTAACTATATAAAATTTGCATTTGAGTATCACAAGTATGTAATGACATACAGTTATGTGCAAAAGTCTTTTCACATAAAATTTTCTTTGATAAAGTTCATGGCGTTCTTTCAGCTATTAATAGTTTTAGTTACACAAATATATGTACAATTTATTTTGCACAAACGTTATCGCTATACAACACTTATTCATTGAGAAAACAAATATAATAGGTTGATGCATAAGTCTTTTCGTTTTTTTCGTACTTCTGTTAAAAAGTAACAAATTCACCAATTAATCTATAGTTTGCTCTATAAAAAAAGTGTTTTTTTTGTTCAATTTCCATCTTTTTAAATGAATTTCGGTTCACTTTCAAGCAAATTCGAGAGTGAAAAACGCCTTTTTCGTAAAAATCTATAAAAAACTCTACGGAAAAATTGGCTGAATGAATTTCTCTGAAATTTTGGCGAAATATCAAACTTTTTTTTCTCTATCTTTTATCTATTGACACGAAGATAGGTTTTCTTTAGCTAAGGTGTCTAAACCGCATCATCGAGTTAGCCCTTTTTGACTACCCGACTTCATACTCTCAAGAAAATCCAGGCATTAAATATTTTTAAACCCGTTTTAATGTTATTTTGCAGAAAAATAATTGGTTTTTCTAATGAAATCAACCGTAGTTTAATTGGTGCATTTGTTGGCTTGAAACGGCAGACGAAAAGGAATAAAAAGACTTATGCATCAACCTAATAATTGTCAAAACACCCCTGAAAATCGTGGTGCAAAAGTCTTTTAACACTTTACATTAAATATACCGTATTTCTTCGAATAGAAGACCGGGTAAAGAGTATCATCGCGTACTCCTGCGTAACAGCCATTTTTAAAATCCCTTTTCTACATAAAAGCTTTCAATCAAGTGCTATAGAGCTGGAAAATGGCTCAAAAATCTGTTAGCCCATGTGGCATTTTTGAGTCATTTTCCAGCCCTATAGCACTTCATTGAAAGCTTTTATGCAGAAAAGAAATTTTAAAAAGGGCTGCTACGCAGGAGTACGCGATCATACTCTTTACCCGGTCTTCTATTCGAAGAAATACGGTATTAGCATTATTTGTTAGAACTTTCTAACAGTTTTCAAACTACTTATTAGTGAAATCATGAAAGTTCTTAATTTCTCTATTTCTAGATTCATTCAAATATCGCTTTCCATTCATTAAACTGGAGTTGTTGGAGTTGAAAATTGTACTGAATGCGAAACTCTTTGACAACTTTTTGACGTAACTTTAGAATAAAGAAGTGCTGGCAAACGCGTTCGGCTTCAGAAGTGATCTCAATAAAAACATGAAACAATAATTGAGGAAAAGAGCTCATTTGATGATCATTTTCTGCATTCGCTCACATTCTTCTAGGTCACTCTTGTATTGTTTCGCATTCAGTTCAATTTTCAACTCCAGCAACTCCAGTTTAATGAATGGAAAGCGATATTTAATTGTCTTCCAATCATCACCAGCGAATTTTTTGTTTACCAATTTAATTTGAATCTCATTTAAACATTTTACTATTACTTGAACAGTAAAACTTTTTATTAAGAAAGAAAGAAGAACTAAACTTAGAAAGAAGAAGAACTAAACTTAAGAAAGAAACCCAATGTTAAATGTCACTTTTCATTATATACAATTTGCATTATCCACAAAAAGAGCTAGCTTTTTGTTAACTTTTTTCAATCCTTTCATTAAAAAACTTGAGATTGAGTTCTGACGTTTCCAGTGATTTCAATCTCCCGGATTTCAATTTCAATTTCAACCATTGTGCCACTTGTCACCAAGATCACCGCCGGGATTTCAAGTGCCGGAAATAGAAGATCTGCAAAAGTAGATAACGTTGTGGCTCAGTTAATGAAAAATTGAAAATGCCCTTATTCTCTTCTCATTCTACTCAACCATGCACAAACCAAACCAGCGCCACCAAACAGCTCTCATCTTTTTTCAACGCCTCTTTTTGTCTTAACTTGTCCTAAGCCTTCTCTGTTCTTGCCATTTGCCTTCTCTCTTCTCTTGCCTTCTCTCTTCTCTTGCCTTCTCTCTTCTATTGCCTTCTCTCTTCTATTGCCTTCTCTCTTCTATTGCCTTCTCTCTTCTCTTGCCTTCAAATTTGCCTTCTCTGTTCTTGTGCCAACTAAAGCTAGATTTTTAAAGAAAAAAGTAGTTGCCACTTCATTCCTCTCCGATTCCGTCCTCCGATTCCATCCATCCTTTGATTCGCAGCTAGCTTTTGCTCAATCGATGCTCAATCGATGCTCAATGAATAACAATGAAGAGCGCTCATTCTGCTTTTCGCCTTCTTGTTGCAAATCAGTTTTTGTGGCTTTGACTTACTAGGAACAGACCAAAGTATGTTCAATATAAGCCGGCTTAAGCCAGATTAACATAAACTTGTGTTTTTCAAACTAGGGTTTTAGCTTTTCTTTGACAAGAAAAGTATCAGTTGTACAAATTTTGAAGAAAATTTAATTATCTAATAATATCACATAGACTCTTTTAAAAGCTAAATATCACAAAGAACCCGTATCACTGAAAACCGATCGGTTGATATGCTTTTGATATTGCAAATTATCAAAAAAAGTGAAGCTATGGTGAATTGGAATGGCTAAAGAATTAAGCTAAAAGTTATTGAAAAGCAAATAAAAGCAATGTTATTTGAAAATAAGGCCTAATATCTTTCAAAAATAAGTTATTAACTTAAAAACATTTTCTAGATAAACGCAATTCCCTCAAATTTATAAGGTCCATCGATTTTCTGATCTTCAAGAATCACGGCTCCGCCAACGTTGAAGATTGTGAGATGGCTGCCGACAGGTTGAGCCTCCTAAAGGATAGAGTTGATAGAGTTTTGTATTCTTTTCATTTGTAATGTTCTAAACTTTAGCTCAGCTCAATTCTTATACAAAATAAAGCAATCTAAAAGATGTCAGACCTGCTCAGACTTGGAAAAACCAAAGATTTGTAATTATTGGATGCTTGTTAAGATCTATTATTTTAAATAAACTAACTTTAGATGAATCTAGGTTTATTAAGGCTTGATCAAGTTAGCGAATCTTTAAATTCTCGTCTTGAAAGAGATAGATTGCTTTGGTTTAGTTAAATCTCTCAAATAAAGTTAGACAATCAGTTTTTAGGCTTTTCAAACCTTTTCTTCGCTTTTTACAGCAGCTATTATGAGATCTTCAGTCCCTGGAACGAATTGAAAAGCGGAGAATCCTTTGTAACTTTTAGGAGTCGTTTTCCCAACTCGAACCATTCTCGGATTCTCAAATTCCTCATCCAACTGAAATTTAAATTGAACTGAAGAATTGATGGCTTGATTTTTGAGAAATCACCGTGCAAACTTTCTTCGAGAACTCTCTTTCCAACCTAATACTTTCCAATCCTTTTTAGAAAAAACTTGGTCAATCTGAAGCGTACTTGTGCGGAATCCGCATTTTTTCAAAAATTCAAAAAATAGCATATAGGGAAAACGGCTGAATAGTTTAAAGATAATCTGAAAATTTAAATACTCACCTAACTTTTCATGCTCTAGCTTTTATTTATAAACATCGAAATAGGTTTCTGTGGAAGAAAGTGGTCAAATCTACTACTATCTTCATTTTCTAACTTTCTTCATTTTCACTTCCTCAACTTCTTAACCTCTGAAAAACTCCAAAAACGAAGCTTTTTCTAAATCTGACAACAGCCACTTTTAGAGAGTTGAAAAACCGTTTGAATAAAAAAAAACTGTAAGTTAATTAGTACATTGATTGTTTCTAAAAAGTGGAATGAAGAACTGTTATCAAGACAAAAATTCAAACAATTCCTGTTTTTGAGTACCGTAATCTCAAAGCTGACACAATTTAAATTAAATCAATTTGAAGTCTTTAAATCCAACTGAAAAAGCACATTGACTATTCGATTTGCAAAACTTTTATACAACTATATCATGCTTTCTTTACCGTAATCAACATATTCGTTCCCCGAAGTTCATCTTTTGTATCATCATAGCTTTCATTCGAAGCTCTTCTTGGAAGGAAAAACCATTTTCGGTGAACTTTTGACCATTGAACGGCTTCATGGATCATATAACCGGGTGACTTGATTCCGACCGATTCTCGAACCTAGAGCTTTTGTTTTTCAAATGAAAAGTGAAAAACTTTACCTTTCGATAGACAGATGCCCAATTGTGATGAATGACTCTTCCAAAGCGATCAATTTGTTTCACCCACATCGGGAAATCGTTTATAAACTCGCCTTTCACTGACGTCCATTCTTTTCCCAAACCACCAACATAGAGATATTCGTCCTGAAATCGATTTTGATTTTGATTAACTATAAAATTGTAAAGTTTGTATTTAAAAAGTTCAAATGTTTACCTTAACAGTCATCCATTCACCTTTCAATGGATCAGAAACATTTCCAGGTCCATTCCCGAGAATTACAAATGGAATCATTGAATTTCCTTTTATCTGAAAGAAGGCTGATAAAGAACATAAAATTCTAAACTTACTTGATAAACAATTCCAGTTCGATCATCAATTGTCAAGAGCTTTCGATCAAAAACAACCAAATCGGAGAGCTCCATTCCTCTGCCTCCAACTAAAATTGAATTCAATACTTTCAAAAATATCAATGAAAGACAAAATTCGGGGAGATCGAGTTTTTGACAATTTTCTAGCTCGATTTTAGATAGGTTTGTAAGAAATATATTTATACTTTGATCTTTATAATTTCTTGTGAAACCGTGTCTCGATGTGGTAGATATCTTGAAAACGCATAATTTATCAAAACTTTCCCTTATTAGGAAAAACTTTGCTTAAACTGGAGCAACCTGGCACTATCACAATGACTCCAACACTTCCGTGTGAAAAAACGGATGAAATCGAAAAAGGAGCACACAACTGACTCAAGACAAAGCTTAAATAATGAGTTTTGAAGTACACAAGCTACGACAAACGGACAACTGAATATCGTCTAGTGGCTGATTACGGTAGTTTATCCATCAACTTTGAATTTTGACTTGTTTATTGAATTTTGACTAACTGCAGAGCAGTGGGGATTCGCCAAAAGATTTTTGTTGATAACTTTTTAATGAAACAAATAGTTTTTGAAAGGTGATGTTCTAAGCTATCTAAATTTGATTAAAACTTCCATCTCTGACAAGTTTATGCTTAAAAATGAGCGGCAAAATTGACAAAAACTCGACCACTCGATAACCGTAAAGATCCCAAAATTTCTCGATTACCTGAAAATTTCGATTTTAGCTCCGTTGATTTTCCGTCATTCCAAGTCACTGAAGCTTTCAGCCAATCATCGGATAACTGAAAAAGGTTTTTTGAACAAGCTTCTTGAATTATAGATTGAAATTTCTGCATTTAAAGTTCTCGCCTTCAAGCTTCCAGTCTTCAAATAACTCCTCCACATTTGCGCATCATCTTGCATTTTGCTGAACGTATCCAAATCAGTCACAACCGCTATTTTATATTCAAATCCATCCGGTGTTCTCTGAATTTGGATAATTGAAATTGAAGATCTTTCAAAGATCTATTATAGTTTCACTTTGAAAACGTAACTTACAATTGGGGGTGATAGCGGTCGTTGATCGAGAACTGTTTGGAAATCTTTAAGATCCTGGAGATGCCATGAGAGTTGAACAAAAGTGATCAAAAGAAGAAGGATCACTACACCAAGCAGGGCCTTAATCAAATTGATAATTGTTTTATAGATTGTCTATGTTTTTACAAATACTATTTGTTCTAACGATTGAATATTGTTCACTACAATGGTTTGCGGAGGACTACGGCAGTTTACCATACTTTATTCAATCAGATTCAGAATCAATCAGATTCCTTTATTCAATCAGATTCAGAATCAATCAGATTTACAGTTTAAACAAATTACCAAGTAGATCTATTGTTAAATAAAAGAATCCTATACAACACTAGCACTAACCCAAGCTCTTGTAGAAAGTAAAATCTCCAAAAAAGACATTGTTTTAAGCTTATTTATAGGCTAGTTTAAGGAAATTGAGAAAGAAGTGTTGCTTCTTTTTTTAAAAAGAAAAAAGCTAACCATTATGAATCTAAAGAATGAATCAAAGAATTGTAAGTGAATGCTGAAGTGGTCTAAAGATTCTTCTTGGAGATTCTTTTCAAAAGCAGAAATAATAGTATGAAAAGAGCGTCACAAAGATTGGAAAAGAGGAAATTCATATAAAAGAAAAATCGCTTTTTCCCCTATTTGAACAAATTTTGAATGGCTTTTTTTTGTTTTGTTTTGTTTTTTTTTCGTCTACGTTTTGTCTACGTAAAAATAAATAAAAATCGGAGAAATTTCGCGAGAGAACATTGCAAATTTGTTCAAGTGATCTAATTGGTTGAACGGAAGACTAAAGCAATGTTGAACCCATTTACAATTCAAATGATAAGTTTAAATTTTGTGACTTGATGGGGAAACTGGGAAACTGTTTAATAAAGCTATAAAAGACTAAGAAAATTGATCAAAAAGTTTTATAAAAGTCGATTTTAAGCAAACTTTAGAAAGTTGCTTTAGAAAATGCTTTAGAAATATAATTGCTTTGGAAAATGGAGGTGCCAATGCGACTTTCTTTAGTCTTTCTTTTGTCTTTTTTTGTCTTTTGTCATTATTAATTTAAACTTACATTAAAGAAAATCATTTGGTGAAAGTTTAAAGAGAAATACATTGTTTGTGCTCTTAAAAAATGAAATAGTCATAATTTTTTTGGGAGAAAAGCTTTAAGCGAGCAAAGGTCATGAATAATGCTAGAGTTTTTATGTAAAATTCGCATTATTCATAAAAATTCTGACATTTTTAGGTAAAATGCTCATTCAGTCAAGAGAAAAGTTTTGAAAATGTTCCCGAAATGTTCAGAAATTCTTTCCGGACTTTGAAATCAGTCGTTCTCAATCAAATAGAGTGATGAGTGCTTTAGAAAGATGCTAGGAATTCATGAAATAAGGGACTATAGTCCCTCTATAAGGGATAAGGGACCCTGAATAAGGGACCCTAGAGTCACTCTAACAGTTTATAATACTTGATTACGATAGTCGACTATCGTAATCAAGTATTGTAAACTGTTAGAGTTAAGAAAACATCTTTGATCTTGTATCTTAACCAAGATTTCAGTTTTTGTTTCTCACAGGAATTTGAAAGCTTTTTGAAACAATAGGACAGATGACAGATGAATGATGAACAATTGAAAGATGAATGACAATAAACAATAACAATAGGACTGATTTTTTTTTATGATTATTACGCTGTCAAGAAAATCTTTTCGTTCCTTTTCATGAAAAATAGCAAATTCATCAATTAAACTATGATTTACTCTATATAAAAAATGTTTATTGTTCAATTTCCCATCTTTTTAAGTCAATTTTGGTTCATTTACAAGCAAAATCGCGAGTGATAAACGTGCTTTTTCGTAAAAATCTATAAAAACCTTTACGAAGAAATTGGCTAAATGAATTTCTCTGAAAATTTGAAGATACATCTAACTTTTTGTGCTCTATCTTTTATCTATTGACACAAAGATAGATTCCTTTAGCTAAAGTGTCTAAAGTGCATGTTTTGTGCGCCTTCTAAACCGTGCCGTCACCCTTTTTGCCTACCAAGATTTCAGTTTTTGTTTCTCCCAGGAATTTGAAAGCTTTGCTTTTAGAAAGTAGAATAAAAACTGACAATAGGACGAATTTGTTATGATTAAGCCTACCCGACTTCATGATCCCCAAAAAAATGCAAATTCTACGGGTTTTTCGTAAAAATCTTATAAAAGCCTCTACGAAGAAATTGGCTGAATGAATTGCTCTGAAAATTTGGCAATATACCAAACGTTTTGTGCTCTATCTTTTATCGATAGACACGAAGATAGGTTTCTTTAGCTAAAGTGTCTAAACCGCATCATCGAGCTGTCTTTTTGACTACCCGCCTTCATGCTTCCAAAAAACCCCAGACTTAAGACATTTTAAATCCGTTTTAATGTTATTTTGCAGAAAAATAATTGGTTTTTCTAATGAAATAAATCGTAGTTTAATTGGTGCATTTGTTGGCTTGAAACGGCAGATAAAGGAACAAAAAGACTTATGCATCAACCTATTAATTGGCCTTTCTAATGAAATAAATCGTAGCTCAATTGGTGCATTTGTTGGCTCTTTTTTAAGTCAATTTCGGCTCACTTACAAGCAAATTCGTGAATGAAAACACGGGTTTTCTATAACAATCTCTTCGAAGAAATTGGCTGAATGGATTTTTGTGAAAATTTGACTATATACAAACTTTTTATGCTTTTATCTATTGACCATTGACTTAAGCTTTTATCGATTATCTTTTATTTTTTTAGCTTTTATCGATCGATCTATCTTTTATTGATTGACACGAAGATACGTTTCTTTAACTAAAGTGGCTAAACCGCATCACCGAGCCGAAAATTTTGACTACCCGAAAAATCCAGACATAAGACATTTGGTACTAATAAAGTTGGCACTTTTTTTTTCTGTAAAATCACTTTCTGCGGTAGTTTTATGTGTAGATTCGAAAAAACACAACGAGAGTCTGGGAAAAGGCGTTTTAAGCTAAGTTTCGGGGCTCTTTATCAAAGAAAATCGATGAAACTTTTTAGAAAATTGAGTCTTAAAAAAAGACTTTTGCACATGACTGTATTAGGCTTTCCAGAAAGTCTTTTCTTTCCTTTTCGTACTTCCGTTTAAAAATAACAGATTCACAGATTCAAATAAACCGTAATTCAATTGGTGCATTTGTTGGTTTTAAACGGCAGTACGAAAAGACTTTTTGAATAGCCTAATAGTAGCAATTTCCTTCAAAATAAATTCAAAGACTTTTGCACAATGACTGTATTAGGCTGTCTAGAAAGTCTTTTCTTTCCTTTTCGTAATTCCGTTTAAAAATAACAAATTCACCAATTAAACCATGCTTTGCTCTAAATAAAAAATGTTTATCGTTCAATTTTCCATCTTTTTAAGTCAATTTCGGCTCACTTTCAACCCAAATTCGAGAGTGAAAACACGTGTTTTTCGTAAAAATCTATAAAAATCTCTATGAAGAAATTGGTTGAATGAATTTCTCTGAAAGTTTGGCAATATACCAAACGTTTTATGCTCTATCTTTTATCGATAGTCACAAAGATTGATTTCCTTAGCTAAAGTGTCTAAACCGCATCACCGCGCTGTCTTTTTGACTACCCGACTTCATGGTCTTAAAAAAACCCAGACTTAAGACATTTGAAATTCGTTTTAATATTATTTTACAGAAAAATAATTGGCTTTTCTAATGAAATAAATAGTTCAATTTGTGCATTTGTTGGTTTTAAACGGAAGTACGAAAAAGAACGAAAAGACTTAAAGTCTAATAATTAGAGCTTAAAATTTTCTAAACAATTTCAACTTTTCAACTCTTTCTCACCTTGCTATATTTCCTTGCTTTTGAATGCAAATGCCATGGATATTTGATGAGAAGCTCTTTGCTAAAATCATCCGAAATTGAGCGCTTTTGGCGACCGTTCATCCAAATTTTCGAAATTTTGCTAAAAATTCAAGTTTTATCTTCAAATAAATAAAAATCTAAAAGGTTATTAAAGCAAGATTTGAGTGGGGGAAGAGTTTAAAGGAGTTTTTAGAGTTTAAACTGTTTCTTGAACTTGAACAAGCGCCACTATTGCAGTGATTACAAAGAGCAGGAAGAATTCTCAATTATAAAATCGTTTTGATGATTAAATGATGAAAAATAACAAGCAATATGATGAAGAAATGTATGCTTAAACAAAATTAACATTAAATGTCGTGGCATTGGAAGAGATTTGAAGAGTTTATAGGGTTTATTGTCTAAAAGACACTAGCGCTTCTCTGAAATGGTCTCACCGCGATACCATAATCTCTCGATTTGCCTCTCGTTCTTTTTCTTAAAAAATTTTCTACTTTTCAAGAGTTTTTCTATGTATATTGTTAAAATAAAGCTTATTTTTTGTTTTATTTTGTAATTTTAAAGCATTAATTCAAAGAAATTTCATTGATGCCTCGAAAAATTTGTCCTCTTTTAGTTAAATCAATTTTCTAAATTTGAAAAACATTGTCAACTTGAATTTTCTGCTTTTCTTATTGCTTTAAATGTAAATTTTAGAAAATTTATACAAAAATTCGGTTTTAGCAATGGGTATCACACGTGACAGCTGGCACAAGAGACGCGCTACCGGTGGAGCTCGTCCTCAACCTCATGACAAGGTTTGTTCAACGGGAAAAGGGTTTTGAAAAAGTTAATAAACTAAACTAAAAGATATTTAAGTAAAAAAAAGCTTATTGTTATATTTCATTATCTAATTATAAATGTTTTAGAGAAAGCACGAGCTTGGCCGCCCATCGGCTAACACCAAACTCGGAGCCAAGAGAGTTCATCAAGTCAGGTGAGTGGAAATGTGCTTTAAATCTTAAAAATTAAGATTATTTATCAATATTTAACTATTTTTGAAGCTTTATAAAAATCTTCTCTATATAAAATATTAAAATTACTTTTTTAGATGCCGTGGAGGAATCATCAAGCATCGCGCTTTGAGGCTCGATGCTGGAAACTTCTCGTGGGCTTCGGAAGGTCAGTTTAAAATAGATAATTGAAATTTTCGAATAAAATGTTTAATGCTGAATGCAAAGTTGAATGCTAATTCTAGGAACTGCTCGCAAGACCCGTATCTTGGACACAGTGTACAATGCAACAAACAACGAGTTGGTGCGTACGAAGACGCTCGTCAAGGGGAGCCATCGTCACCAGTAAGTTGAAATAAAAACGTACTTTGTGCTCAAATAAATGCAAGATTTCTGGCATAATCAGCTCTAAATTTGTACTACATTTGTTAGTCTGAGAAAGGATAGAGTTGTGTGCGAAATGCATGTGTTTCTTTGAGAGCTTGACGTTCAGATTTCAATGATTTGAGAAAATGCATGCTTACATTAAAGCCTTTTATCTGGATTAAGAATCTTCAAAATCTTTTCATGGGTCTAATGTCGAATTTCCAGTCGATGCTCTTCCATTCCGTCAATGGTATGAGAATCACTACGCTCTCCCGCTTGCTCGCAGAAAGGGACAAAAGCCCACCGAAGAGGAACAAGCAAAGATCGATGAGAAGAAAACGTGAGTGGAAATGGTTTAGGACAATAGTTAAGCTTACACAAAAATGTGTTAGCAGTTAGACTCCGTAACTCGAAAGTCCCAATAAGTTGACGTCTATAAAAATTGTTCTAACAATTCTAGCAAGCTGGTCTAGCTTAAATTTTATGCAATTTTAGAGCTATAATCTGCTTTTAAACAATTAAAATCTATCTTAAAATAGCATATTGAAATGTAAAAGCACCGAAAAGATCTGTTACCTTATTTCTTGTAAGACTTTGGAGCATTTCATTCCAGAAGTATTGGTCGTTGCGATACTTTGATTCAATGATAATGTTTCAATAATTTTTCATTTTAGCGACGGAAAGTTGCCAAAGGAATACATTCTCCGACAACGAAAAGCTGCCATCGATCCAGCTGTTGCCGAACAATTCCAATCCGGAAAACTTCTCGGTGAGTGAAATGAAAGAGAAAACAAGCATGACAAGATTCTTGATCTAGCTGTAAAGTAATAAAACAAGGCTTAGCTTTCTGAAAGAGAAGACTAGAGAAGTTAGTGATTCTTTTGGAATTCAAAAGCTTTACTTTTGAATTCCAAAAGCTAACATTGACCAATTACTTTTCAAAAGCATGTTAAGTAAGTGAAAAACCTTATAGCCACCAAATCCAAACAATTCTAACAATAGAACTTCTGTAGTCTGTAAATATTGTTATCCAAAGATCTCATATTATCTCAATTCTTTAGCCCGTCTCTCATCATCTCCTGGACAAGTCGGTCGTGGTGATGGATACATTTTGGAGGGAAAAGAACTCGAGTTTTACCTTCGTAAACTCAAGGCCAAGAAAGCTAAATAAACAACCCCAAAATAAGCATTGTTCGTTATTATATTGTTGTTTAAAAATAAAAATGTTCAACAAAAACAGTTGAAAATACTTTATACAATCACAATTTAAAATTTACTATAAAACTCTCCATCCTTTACAGCATTTCACGACACTTCCTTCTGAGTAGAGATTCAAAAGCTTCAGATTTTCAATATCAGGAATGTCAAGGGTTTGGTAGGCTTCCTGGAAAATAAGAATTGTCTATTGTTAAGGCTTAAAGTGTAGAAGTGTTGGTTTTACCTCAAAATTCTTCACAATCCTTAATGGAGTATTGCTTTTCGGAATGACACCGATTCCTTGAGAAGTGGCGAATGAGAGCAAGACACCTGATTTCGTTTTTCCTGTTCTTTCCACAATTTCGTTCAACGTTTTGCTGTCCGCCAAGTCTGGGCGTAGATTTGCCAAAGATGTGAATGCCTAGAAGACTTTGAAATTAATATCTAACCGTTTGCTTGCCTGGAAGAAAATATTCTTGGATCGACAGTACTCGAGGAGATCAGTGCGAAGGAAAAGTGGATGGTATTCGATCTAAAATGGGGCTAAAGTCTCAAGTTTTTTTGCCAAAATAAAACATCTAACCTTAAAGCTGAATACCTACCATAAATACTGTAATAGTATCCCACCGCCCTCGTACAGTCGCGTAGTCGCAAAAGTTTTTTAGTATTTCATTTTTTCCAAAGCGCCCGTACTTTCAAAAAAATGCGTCTTTGGTATCAAAAAATAGCTGAAATTCAGGGCTATTTTTTGATACCTAAGCGCACATTGTAGCATGAACCAGTGTCGAGAAAAACTCGTTCAAAGCTACACTACGCAACACTCCGCACCGTCATTATGTTTGGTATCAAAAATGCGTCTTTGGCATCAAAAAATAGCTGAAATTCAGGGCTATTTTTTGATACCTAAGCGCACATTGTAGCATAAACCAGTGTCGAGAAAAACTCGTTCAAAGCTACACTACGCAACACTCCGCACCGTCATTATGGTGGTGGCGTACTATTACAGTGTTTACGGTAGGCTTAACTAGTGCTTCTCCTCAACTCCACTCAAACAAACAACTACTTCAGATCAACTTCAAAATTGCGGCTGATAAAAAAACACAAAAATAAGAATTTTCTGTATTTTTTAGCTGCTAGATGCTAGAAATAACTCTAAAAAGCGAAAAAAAACAAGAGACGGAGCCAAACCACCGATCATAGTTCATAGGAACTACAAGCGTAGACTCGTAGACCCTCGGCCACTCGGCTGTTGCTCGCGTGCGTGTCAAAAAAAAGCCCGGAATTTCAGCTATTTTTTGATACCTAAGCGCACATTGTAGCATAAACCAGTATCGAGAAAAACTCGTTCAAAGCTAGACTACGCAACACTCCGCACCGTCATTATGGGGCTGGGGTACTATTACAGTATTTACGGTATCTAAATACATATCTAATATCTAAATATGCCTACCAAAAAATCAAATATATGAATGTCTAATAGCTGACTTGATCTTTTGATCACTTGATCTTCTCTAGATCTTCAATTGCTTCATTAAGGATTTGAATTATAATTCTTAATGGAGCAACTCTACAGCAATACTGTATTAAGGATTGAGAAGATTTTCATTTGATTTTCAATCAACGTACTTGATCAATGGTCGGCATTGCAAGTCCAGCTTTCTCGATTTCCGCAAGATGCCTAGCTTCAAAATTTGAGACTCCAACCGTGCGAATGAGACCCATATCTCTAAATAGCTACACTTTAAAAGAAAAACTGACCTAATAACCCAGAAGAATCCCAGCTATAATACGTACCGTAACTTCAGCAACGTCTTATACCCTTCAATTCTCATCTTTGCATTGTCAGGACTTCTCTCCGCTTGTTCATCGTTGATCGCATAAGTTGGATAGTGAATCAAGACAACATCCAGATACTCCAATTGTAGCTCCATTAGAGAGACTTTTACCTAAACCTCTTTAGAAATGCATAATCGATTTCTAACCTGATTTTCCACTTCATGTTCGTTATTTTCTTTCTTGAGTTGAATCTTTGTGATTATCGTGATTTCTTCGCGTTTTAAATCGGTTTCGGGTAAAGCAATTTTAAGGGCTTTTCCCAGAGCTGCATGATTGTCATAAACCTGTAAATAATGACAATAATATAGATGAAAAGCTTGGCTATTATAAAAGCTAAAGATTCATTTTTGGGTACACACTTTTTAAGAGAAACTCACAATTGCTGTGTCAATCATTCGATATCCAATCTTGAAAGCGGTCCTCAATGTCTCCGTTAAACGCCCGTGATCCGCTCCACACGTTCCCAAACCGACTAATGGAATGTGGACACCATCATGAAGTTGCACCATTTTATAATCTAAAACACTAATTCAAAATTTAATCAATAGAATTTAATCAGTTTAAAAGTAAATTAGTAGCTGTTTTGTCGATTGAAAAGTGAAATTGCTAAGCAATGCTTTCTTTTCGATTGCATTTCGCATTGATTTCGAAAAGATAAGAGAAAAGGGGAAAAGAAATTTTACGAATGACTGAAAATCAATGATTCTGGTTGTTTCTTTGACTTAAATAACCATTTTAATTCGAGATTTTTCAGAGATGATATCATAAAACATTAACAGACTTTATGAAGCATGGTTTTCTAAGAAAAGGTGCAGCTATTGATAAAAGTGAAAAGCAGATTTTGATATAGAAACTTTCTTGAAATCTATTATTCAAATTGAAAATGTTTACAAAAAATGTGCGTTGTTTATTCGAATTGTCAAAATAGGCCTTTGATGAGACTTGAATGAGAGTCGGGTCGATTTTCGCGGGTTTTTCTTTAAATTCCCATCTCTTTTTGCTTTTTTTCTCAAAGGACATTGTTTATTTGGCCTTTCCTAGCACAAAATTTAAAAGAAAATGAAAAAATTGCGTTATATTACTCGTATCAAAGTAGACAAAAAAATGAGAGAATCATAGAAAATGGATAAAGCTCAAAGATCGAGATAAAATTTGGTTATGAATTTGGTTGAAGTTGAGCAATGTAAAAATCGAATTTGAAATGATAACTGTTCAGTAAACTACTTTAAAGTGTACTTTGTAATGATCAAAATCAAAAAAGGATCAAAATCGAATGCATCAGAAAGGATGCACTATTTCTAATTACAAAGTACACTTTAAAGTAGGCTTCGGAAAACAAACCAAAACCAAAACCAAAATCAAAACTAACCAAAACTCGCCAATATCTCGCGACTGGGAGGAGTTAGCAAAAATCTGTTTGCAGATTTGAAATCAGCATCCAAAAATCTATCCCATAGGCTATTTTTTGTTTCGAAATTTCGAGGTCGTGTTTTGGTCCTTTTTTCGGCCGCGAGATTTTGTGGAGTGAGAAAAAGTGAAAGGCAAATTTGCATTTTACAATTTTAAATTTACATGTTAATTTATATGCAAATTGAGTTTTGGTTTGTTTTGGTGTTTTGACGAAACAAAGGAGAAATTAATGCGCCAGAAGGGATGCTTTTCTAATTCAAAGCTCAAAGCTCCCTGATTCTCAAGAAATAAAAGATGAGCAATTGGTGAAAGGCAGAAAATGATAAAAGTTGTAAAAAAAGAATTTCTCTAGATTAGACATCGGTAGGAGAAACGGCATTTCTCTTTGATCCTTCATCGGAGTGACGAATCCTTAAAGTGTCTGCTTGATCGTATGGTGGAGCGTTTGGGCCTCCATTTGAGAAAAACTAAAAAGAAAACGATCATCTTAATGTTTTAAAAGATTCTAGTAGACAAACCCTCGGTGGAGTGCTCTTTTCAGAGCCTGACAATGGCATTTTATCGTGTTCAATCGATGAATCCGAATAAGTCTTGAAAGAGGACATTCCCTGAAACGAAGATTTAAACCGAAGCTTCTGAAAGTAGCAAATGTAACTATTTTTTATAATTGTATTGTATTTACCTTTTGGAAAGTTCAAGAGAATTAACTTTCACTTACCGTATTTCTTCGAATAGAAGACCGGGTAAAGAGTATGATCGCGTACTCCTGCGTAGCAGCCCTTTTTAAAATTTCTTTTCTGCATAAAAGCTTTCAATGAAGTGCTACAGGGCTGGAAAATGGCTCAATAATCTGTTGGCTCATGTGGTATTTTTGAGCCATTTTCCAGCTCTATAGCACTTCATTGAAAGCTTTTATGCAGAAAAGAAATTTTAAAAAGGGCTGCTACGCAGGAGTACGCGATCATACTCTTTACCCGGTCTTCTATTCGAAGAAATACGGTAATCAAACTTTAAATCAATCCAACTTTCACCTAACATTTTCTACAATCAAACAAAAGAAATAAAAAAACTTCTTACTGCTTTTTTTTACTCACATCATTTGTGTAGAGAGCCATGATCTTGCTTGTGAGCTCAAAAGCGATCCGTCCACCGACATGTTCTCTGACGAATTGTAACAACAATACTCCATCAGGCATTGCGCACTCTTTCACGAAGCGAGCTCGATATTTGGCGAGGCCCTGAAAAGGCTAGCGATTTATTTGTGACCAGTTGAAAAACCCGGTGAAACGGCTGAAACCAGCTGAAAAATCCTGCTGTCACCGTGGCGCAGTCGGGAGCGCGCTTGCCTACGGTTCGACAGGTTTGACCACGACCGGGGTTCGAACCCCTAGTGTTACTGGATTTTGACTTTTTAATTTTTTGTTTATTAAATGGCATAACTACAATGTGTTTGAAGGTTTTCTAAAGAAGTTTTAGCTTTATTTGTTAAAACATGATTGAGAAAATGCTCGTATAGACAGACAGACAGACAGACAGACAGACAGACAGACAGACAAGAAAGAACTAAGTGTACCAGAAGATGTGTTTCGTTTAAAGCACAAAGTCCAGTTTCAGTACTTACTTTTCCTCTAGAATCATGATGATCAGATCCAATCAAGAGCATTCGATGTCTCATAAACGGAAGCAACAACATCGAGCAATAGTAGAAGAAATTGACGGTGGTAAAGATGAAAAGGACCATGAACCTAAAGGAAAATGGGTTTTATAATAATTTTAAAATAGAAATTCACATACCAGATATAAAGAAACAGGTAGACCTTCTCATTAATCATATTCATCATGATCACACATTGAACAGTGTAGCGATGGAGTTGCGCCAGCCGTCTAACCTGAAAAATTTGATTCAAAAAGCAAACTTACTTACTGAATCTTTAGAAAGCTTTAAAGCTTCTGTTAAAAGAGATTTTTATAAACTTTAGAAGTGCTAAAGATCTACTTGGAAGTCACATAGCACCACGCGAGGGAAAACTGTTCCATCGTCTAACTCGTTGGCCATCAAAATGTTTTGCACATTCTAAAAGACACTTTATAGCTTTAAGATTGATTGAAGAACTTGAAAGGGTCTCTCAATATCAATCTATGAATTGATCTATGGTCATAGATCAATCCATAGATTGATCATAGACCATAGCTCTTGGCAATAGATCAATTTAGAAACAAATCCAAACTTACGGCCATTCCCCAAGTGATGAACTTTCCACCCAAAAACTTGTCGACCACCCAAATTTGAGCCACAAGATTGAGGACGTAAAGTGCTTTGATGAAGAGATACAAAAACACAGCATTGCGGCCCGAGCGAGCTTTCGTTGACTAAAGAAAACAAAATTTTTGACAAAGAGACTTGCGCTACTGGCTAAAAGCCCTGTATCTTACAAGGGAATGTCAACCGGCTGAGTCAAATGCTATGCGACATATACCATTCGACGCGGAATTTTATGCTGATTCCGAATATGTATTCCGTTTTTGCTAAATGACAATCTGCCAGAAGTCATAAGCGTCTAAAGTTTGTTTTGTTTTGTTAGGACTCTGAAAATGCGGTCATTTGGGTCTTAGCGGCCTCCTTGAGGACCCAATTTGTTGTGACCGTGTCTAAGTGGTACATCGTTCGTTTCCCAGGTCTCACAAGTTCGATCCACACTTTAGATCTTTCTAGCCGGCTCAGTCAGTTGACCTTCCCTTGTTAGTCGAGAGGTCAAAGGTTCAATCCCACCAAGATTATTAGTTCCTTTTTCCCCACATTTAGAGGTTTTGCTTTTGTATTGATTGTACATTTTATTCGTGTGAATATTTAAGAAACAAAGGCTAAAGTAGCTTGTTCACAAACTTGTAATGAGCTGTTCGAGAGTTTTGTGTTACTGTTGAATCAAAATCTGAAAACCCACCTTCAGCGCACTGTTTGGTGATTTAAAAATGGAAACTGATTCCAAGAAATAGTTGGCCAACGTCTCAATCTCTCGATCACGATCCTTTCCATGAGATCTTTTCACCCGGCCTGCTTCATCAAGGAAACCAGCTGGATTGATTGCTGAAAAGGATTTATCGAAAACATCTTACTTCTCTAAACAAACTACTCTTACTACTCTGTTTTTAAAACAAAGTTATGTTTTCATGAATCATTTCAATCAAACCTGTATGCGATTGCAGCGCATTCCAGAGATAATTCGGCAAATAGAACATCACCGCTTGTAAAGCCAACACAATGGGTACCCATCGATAGTACGAGATTTGATCTGATCGACTTTCGATTGCCTGAAAGAATTGTTTTGAAAAGAATTTGATTTTAATCTTTCAAAATCTACCGTTGGGATCTCGTCTTCAATCGGAATATGGTAAGAACTGGCGATAAAGCAATAGTTCTCCGTGTAGCGATCCCAAGCACCTAAAAGAGTCGATGTAGAACATGAAAACTTTAGATATCTTATTCTACTAAAGAATCCAGCTTCTATAACTGATAAATGTCAGTTAAACCAACCACTAAACTCCTTTGGTGTCCAGCATTGGATCGGTGATCCGAAATATTGCTTACACGAGATGGCAAAAGCGAAGAAAGCCAATAAATATGAGGTTACATAGTAATTCAATCGATCAACCGTATCCGAGACGGCTTGGATTTGAACAATATCTTTGAGGTATTTGCTGAGGAATGGAATCCCAAGCATTTCCTGAAATTCAATCAATTACAAAACAATTAGAAACACTAATAAAGAATAATATAAATCTTTGATGTAAGTTATCGTATCTCAAGCCGAAAGGTAACCCCAAAATGGTCATAAAACATTTTTAGGGCTAAGTTCTTTGTCCCAATTTGAAAAGAGGCGAATGCAAAGGTCGAATAAAAGACAAAAAAAAGGAAAAGAGATAATCCGAAGATAAATAGTGAGATCTTTTAAGGAAATGGTTGGGAAGGAAAGAAAAAGGAAAGGATTGGGGCATTCAACGAAAAGACTTTAGATCATCACGAGATCGAGAGAGATTCTTATCGAGAAAGGGGTTATTTTATGAACTCTGATTTGACTAAAGAGGTGTCAAGCTCTATACTGTTAAGAATTCAAGGTTTAGATTTAGTATTACTGGCTACAGTGCGCTAGAAATAATTGTATTACTGAATTTTGGTACTTTTGAAAAGTTATTCAAGTATTGGAGATAGATTTCGAGTCGAGTTTAGAGAATCTGTATGCTGATCATATTTTGCTATGGTTTAGATTCAAAATCACACTGGCTACAGTACACTGAAAGATTCGATGTTTTTGAAAAGCTATCTATTATAAATACTAAAGAGAAGTTTCAATATTCAATAAGCAATATAGTTTTTATAGATTGTTCCATTGAAGTCATTCAAATGTGGGTCATAAGGCTTATGTAAACAAATATTAATTAGCGGCACCAACAGATGGTAATAAAAAGAAAATTGAATTGATAAGACAAAACGAGAAAGCTAAAGAAAAAAAAAGCTGTTTAGAGGGCAAAAACAAAACGAAGCAGTGAATCAGCATGATTGAAAAGTATTTGAGATAATTCTTGAACTTTTTGCAAGAATTGAACTGATTGAAAACTACTATTTTAATCAAATCAAATCTTATAAAAAACAAGCCAAAGTATTAGAGGTAATCGATGAATTGGTGCGTCTGGTGAATGGTAGACGGAGAGGAGGGGTCAAAGGAGTGAAAGAAGAAGAGAAAGGGTTGCCCTAGGGTATCAAAAGGTCGGTGAGAGGGGAAGGGGTCCTCTTTGACCCATAGATATAGAAAAAGAATAGGAAAGTGTCCCCCAGAAGGGAGAAGGATGGAGAAGGGTGCAAGGTGCTGGTCTTTTCCTTTTTCCCATTCACGTTTAGATCTCGTCAGATGCCGGGTCAGGGGTCACTCATTGAGCTACTTATTCATCTATTCATTAGTAAGACATAAGACCCTATCCTGACGGTAATGGGATTGGTGTAGCTCATTGGTAGAGCTCATTGGTAGAGCTCATTGGTAGAGCTCATTGGTAGAGCTCATTGGTAGAGCGTTTGCTCATTGGTAGAGCTCATTGGTAGAGCGTAAGCGAGAGGTCGCAGGTTCAAATCCCGGCACCGATCATGTTTTGTATTCTTAGCCTCAACCCGGCGTGTTCAATTCATTTACAGCATTTATTCCAGTGCTTAAGAATGGAATAAAAGATCGAACTGGTGGAATGACAAAGAAACTGTCCTAGCAAACCATGTGCAGTGCGTGAGAGGGTATTTACACTGAATTTACAAGAACTAGTCTTTATCTGACGATGGGGCAATGATTATTTGGATATTTATTCCAAATATAGCACAATCACTAATCTAGCAAGAAAATACAATAAAATAGAATCAATCGTTGGTTCATTGTGACAAACGGTTCAGTGTGTCAAACGAGAAAGAGTACAAAGTGGGCTCCGTCCCTGTTTATCACACAAACGATCTTTAGAGGAAGAACAAAAGAATCAGAGATATTCAAAATCAAAGCATCAAATAAGATTTCACAGAAAAGAGCTACTTTTCTGCAAAATCCATTTCTATTTTCTATCTCCACAAAGCTGTCCTATTGTCAGTTTTTATTCTATTTTTTAAAAGCTAAGCCTTTAAATTCCCGTGAGATGCGTAAAAAAACTGAAAATTTGGCTGAGATACTAGATGATTTCTTAACTATGACTATTTTTAGCCATGTTAGTATTAATACCAACTTGAAAAGCTATCCAATGTCAGCTCTAGACAATAAGCAAAAGATTAGTCAGTATCAGATGACCCTTGAACGGGAAGCAAGTAGCATGGAGATATCAGATTGTAAGTTTTGTATGTGAATTCATACTCAAATTAGAAATCAATCTTTAAATCACAAATTGTTTGACAAAATATTTAACATCTGAAGCTGGATAAGACGAAGAATACAGGATCCAATTAAAGGTATTAGATTATGCAGATAAATCTTTAAAATGAGATCAATTGTGATCAATTGAGATCAATCAATGCCAATCAATCAATTTCGAAACTCTTTATACAGTAAAGATGCAAAAATAACAAAGAAAAAGAGAGGTAAAACAATGAGTGCTTTGTTAAGTGTGGGTTTTCATTGGTTGTGAATAGTCTCAAACTGTGCCCCATGACGTAATCCATCAATGGAAAGGGTAGTCATGAAGGATTTGAGATAAAAGGAAAAGAAAAATGGCTAAAAGACTCGATTCAAACATATGGAATCACCAAAAATGAGCAGATGTCTATGGGGAAAAATAGAATTTTTAATTTTTAGGTCAATTATTGGGAATTGAATAAAGCGGCACCTTTAGGATTGTAAATTGCATTGCTGGAGGAATATTAGAAATCAACTCTTGATTTTTCAATCAAACTTTAATGTTAAACAAATCTTTTTACTAGGATTTTGAATTTTGAATGACTCTGATAAGCAAAAATCTAAGACTGCATAGACTTTTAAATCTTTAAATGCAAATTTGACAATCGATCTACAACAAGTAGAGCATTAGATTCATTATTGAAATCGTAAATGCATCACAATTCGATTAGTACATAGAAATTCTGCAAAACTCAATCTCAAAACGTCTCTCCGAACCATTCTTTATTTGTGGAGCAGCTCAATCAGCACACAAAACTTTTTCTCACTTCTCAAAAATGATATTGACTTTTCGAAGTGATCGAATGATCGAATCTTTCTCGAATCGAATCGACAAAGGCTCTCAAAAGTAGACGAAGCTCTATGACACTTTGGTCAAAAAAGAAGAGAAAGATAAAGAAAGATCTTGGATTTTTGAAATGATCAAAGGATTTTGATTGGCAAGAATTTTAACTTGATCTTGATCTTGATTTTGATCTTGTACAATCTTTCTTGATGTCAGTCTTGCTCTTGTATTTATTGTACATTTTAGTAAGCCAGAAACGGTGTGATTTCCAATCAAGTACACTTCATAATCCTTAACTATGATGAGATCTGATTACGTTTGGAAAGAACAGGGTTCTTTTAAGGCTTGACAGCTCTCTTCAAGTCCAAAGAGAGAAGAGAAATTGGTGATGAACGGCAGACGATCTGATGACCATCCCATCCTTAGTTCATGTGTCAAACCACTATTTGACAGCTCTAGCTAGATATAAGCAATGATTCCCACTAAGAAATCTTTACCAATTACATTATGAGACAAATTACTATAATCCTTGGATCACTGTCGGCTTTCTTTTGGCATTACTCAGGTAAGCTGGGGAAATTATTTGCTATTTAAGGATATATTACCTTTAAAGAAGAGATCGAATTAGGAATTCTCATTTAAATACTATTATCGGCAGGTATGTGTAGAGCAGGTCTTTTATGAATTTGTCTCAAAGATTAGATCAACTAAATCCGTGTTTCAATTGATAGACTCAAGAAAATGAATAACTCCAATCGATTCCCCGACCCCGAAAACCCTCGGATACAAATTTCCAACTGAATATCTTCTTTTTGTGTCATCTAAAAAGCAAAAGAAAAATCTCTATGACTGGTGAAGTGTTCTTTGTGCGGTCGCGTAATTCCTTTCGATCTGGCAGACCCGTCCGGTATGGCTTGTTTTCCTTTTGGAATCCATGAGGAGCCAAGAAAACGGGAGAGAGAGAGTTCGTGCGCTCACCGGCTCCTTCTCCCGACCCCAAAAAGGAATCTCCCCATACCCGGGCGACCCGCCAGGTCGTGAACGGCCGCAGAAAGAACGCTTCGCCAGTCATTTACATATAGATTTTTCTTTTGCTTTGTAGATGGCACAAAAAGAAGATATTTAGCTGGAAATTTGTATCCGAGGGTTTTCGGGATCAGCGAATCGATTGAAGCTATTCATCTATTGATTGATAACGACTAGAACTCGTGTTTAAAACCCGAGTTGTTGCAAAACTAAGCTACCAATTGTAAGCTGAGATCCTCAAGGTTGAAACTGATCTGAAAAGTTGATTTCATCATTTAATACCTGCTAAATTAGATAAATTAGATTTTTTTGATTTGTTTTCTTGTTGAAATGATTAAAGTAAATCGATTTATCTCTATGCGCAATTCGCAATTCTTTGGGCTCAATTTTTGCATTAAATTCGGCTGTATTTTGCTAGAAATTTCACATTCTTCTAAGCAAACTACAGTACTGGACAATGAAATATCATATTTGAGAAACGATCGTCACTTTCGCGCGTCTGTAACTCCCTTGTCTTTGAGTTTAAACTATTAGTGTTATACATTTTCTGAAAGCTCTTTTCAAGGGCTACACAATGGTAATATTAATATTTAGAAATACGATAAAGACAAGGGAGTTACAGACGCGCGAAAGTGACGATCTTTTTTCAAATATCATATTTCATTGTCCAGTAGTGTAGCTGAAATACTCAAAGTTTAATCTGAAAAGTTGATTTCATCTTTTAATACCTGATAAATTATTGATAAATCAATTTACTTTAATCATTTTTTCATGAAATTTTATCAAAAGAAGATTTTATTATTACATTTAACCTGAGAATTTATTTTTATTGTGAATCGGTCTTAATTCTCTCTCTAAATTGAATTTTTGCTTAAAAATTATTGCATTCTTTTTAGCGGCTACAATTTTGATAGCTACAAATGTGTCAGCGAATATGCCGTGTTGTTTGGAAAGTCTCGGCATTTCGACTTGTTCAAGACTGAAGAAAAGGGGATTGTGGTTGGTTTAAGAAGATTTTTGAAAGAAATGAAAGAAATGAAAGAAATACTATTAAAAGTAAACCTTTTTTAACCTTTTAACCTTTAAAGCTTATGCTCTTTTTCACCCAAAATTTCAGGTTTTATCACAAATGCCATGAGGACGCCGACTTTGCGATTATTCAATGCTGTCACACTTGTAAGACGAATGTACCGGTAAGGATTTTTGTTTTTTTGATAAATGGTTAATGAACTTATGAATTGGAAAGATCATGAATTTTAGGAGCTTGGTTCAAAACTTTTTGCTAAAGGCTCAAAAAGTTTACAATGTTTCGATCGACATGGACCAGCTTTTTGTCAGAAATTTTTACAGGTGAATAAAAAATTTGACAATTATGTAATTCATAACCAATCGTGATTAGATTTTCGATTTTCAGCCAGATGAAATGACGGGTACGTCGAAATGCTCGGGTGCTAATGCTTCATTCGGTTTTCGTTTGTGTCGACGAAGTTGCGGTTTTTGTGAGCCTGAAATCTATCAAGAGAAACGACACGATGGGCAATGTCCTGTAATTGGATAAATTTAGAATAGACATAGATTTTTGTGGAAATAAAGCTATTTAATAATCCAATGTAAGAAGTGAAGAAATTGGCAAGAAAAAGTTGGTTTCTGGAGTGGGGATTGAAGCCTCGATCTTTGCTCGACCTTGATTGATCCGGGCAATTACTCTAACCACTTAGCTATCCAGTAAAATGTCACATTGTTTCTCCATAATAGCAGAGCTGGAAATAATTTAAAGTGTAAGGAAAAATCCTAGCTTTGAGATTAATATATAACCGTTTGCTTGCCTGGGAGCAAATATTCTTGGATCGACAGTACTCGAGGAGATCAGTGCGAAGGAAAAGTGGATGGTATTCGATCTAAAATGGGGCTAAAGTCTCAAGTTTTTCACTATAATAAAACATCTAGCCGTAAAGCTGAATACCTACCGTAAATACTGTAATAGTACCCCACCGCCCTCGTACAGTCGCGTAGTCGCAAAAGTTTTTTAGTATTTCATTTTTTCAAAGCGCCCGTACTTTCAAAAAAATGCGTCTTTGGTATCAAAAAATAGCTGAAATTCAGGGCTATTTTTTGATACCTAAGCGCACATTGTAGCATAAACCAGTGTCGAGAAAAACTCGTTCAAAGCTACACTACGCAACACTCCGCACCGTCATTATGGTGGTGGCGTACTATTACAGTGTTTACGGTAGGCTTAACTAGTGCTTCCCTCAACTCCACTCAAACAAACAACTACTTCAGTCAACTTCAAATTGCGGCTGATAAAAAACAAATAGAATTTTCTGTATTTTTTGCTGCTAGATGCTAGAAATAACTCTAAAAGCGAAAAAACAAGAGACGGAGCCAAACCACCGATCATAGTTCATAGGAACTACAGCGTAGACTCGTAGACCCTCGGCCCTGGCTGTTGCTCGCGTGGTGTCAAAAAAATGCCCTAATTCCAGCTTTTTTTGATACCTAAGCGTACATTGTAGCATGAACCAGTGTCGAGAAAAACTCGTTCAAAGCTAGACTACGCAACACTCTGCACCGTCATTATGGGGGTGGGGTACTATTACAGTATTTACTAGCTATCCAGTGCCTTAGTTTACCAAGAGAAAGAAAAAAAGACAAAAGGAAAGAAGAAAGAAAGAAGGAACTAAGGCTATAATGATACATTAAAGAAAGTTTGAGATATAATAGTATTAACTTTATCAGCAGTAATAAAGAAGTAAAGGAATTGGATAGAGGAAGAAAAAGTAGATAGAGGGGATTGAAGCCTCGATCTTTTGCTTTTGCCCGAACAATTACTCTAACCACTGAGCTATTCGGTACCTTAACTTGCCAAGAGAAAGAAGGAAAGACAAGGGGAAAGAAGAAAGGAAGAGGAAGTAAAAGATTTAACATTTTAAAACACACTTCCGACCCGAAAAAGTCCAATTTTACATTGAGAATCACAAAATCGTTTTCATTTTGGCTTCTTTTTTTTCTCCGACTGAGCGCTCATGCAAATGTAATCCGTCGCTGGATTTCGTGCTTTTTCAGAATAAAAATGGATTATTTATCCTCAAGTCTACTCAAATCTAAATTTTAATTCAATTATCCATTTTGTGATGGATCTTGAACTTTGATCTTTTAAGTTTTTTTGTTTTTCATAATAGAGAAGCCAGGTGGATTTTCTGGTACAATGGGAATGTTATCGATTTCAGTTTCAAATGGATAAATTATCATTTCATATTATCATTTCAAGTTTTCAAATCTCTTCTAACTAATTGGTTGTTTTTGAATTTCTCCAGAAAATCGTTGCAAAGTTTTAAAGTGAATTTCGATTGAAATCAGAGAAAAGCGGTATTCGTTTGGTTGGTTTTGAACCAAAACTTCTTTCCATTCTTGTCCAGATCTATTGTTTGCTAATTTTTCTCTACAAAATTCCTGCAGAAAGGCTTTTTCTTCTATCATTTGGTTCCAATTTCGCCTTAGAAAAAGCCACGCAGCTTTTGTTTTCGTTCAAAACTTTATTATGCTCTAAGCTGATAGGTCATCGACAAGGCATTTCTTTTAATCTCTTTATTTAACAATGTACTACAAAAATCCACAATCTTAAGCCCTAAAGAACAAGAAGTAGACAAGAAAACCCATATATGGGCAAAAGAATCAAAAATCTAGCCGACGGAATTGAGCTCTTGATCTCTTGACTAAGATACAAGACTCTTAGCGAATCGGTTATGGTAACAAGTCGTTGGCTATAGCAAAACAATCCTATCTTGTACTCTATGAAGCTCTTAGCGAATCGGTTATGGTAACAAGTCGTCGGCTATCGCAAAACAAGCCTATCTTGTACACTATGAAGCCAGCCAGAAATTATTCCATTTTTGAATCAAGAACTTTTACATAGCCCTGATAAGTGCTGATAAGTTTAGACTTTTCTTTTGATTGATTCATTGATTTTGATTGCTGTTTTAATTGGGATTCGATAAATCTGGGAAAACCGAAAGCCTGAAACAAGTTGCGAGTCTTTGAAAAAAAACATTACTTCAATACTTTCTCATATTCATGTATCTCATTTTAAGACTCCTTTTTGCATGTTCACTCTCCATTTCCCCGTCTTTTTTCTCATTCTTCTGAAGGAGCAAAGCGCCCAGATGTGGCCAATTTCCATCTTCCCCTTTTCTCGTCTTTTTTTCTTTCAAAAGCCTCATCTCATTGCTCAAGATTTACCCATTCCCACACACATTTCACGTTTTTTTTTTAAAAGAAGAGATTTCAGGTGGGAAAATATTCTCAAAATATGATTTCTGATTTTATAATTGACTCTAGTTTTGTTTTTTTAAATATTAGATATGCAAATTTTGAAGGATTTAAAAAATTTAAATTTATTTGATTCATTCTTCATCAATCCAATCGGAAATTGTGTTTCCTATTTTATTTCCGGTATTCATTTTTTGTTCTCTTCCGCCTGATTGACCTGTCTAATGCATTTCCAGAATTTTGAATGAAATGGGACTTTGAAAAGTTTAATATTAAAGTTCTAACTGATTTCACCTGGTCAAAATAAAAAGCTTCCGCTTGAGTCGATTTTGTTTTTTTTAAATTCCTTGAAAGTTACTTGCTTGCTTGCTGCTCTTTTTTTTTACTTACCTTAAGATCATTTTTTTTTCGAATTGAGTCGCTTTTCTTTGCTCGAAAAGATGGAAAAGAGGAAACTCTGAAAGGAAACTTCATTACTCATTCAAGCGGTTCAACTATTGGAAAAGGGGAATTTCACTTAAACGGCTTTTAGGCTTATTTTTTGGGACTCCATTTCCCTGAGTGTTCTATTTTTTTTTGGCTAAATGAATCTAATAACAATTTTATGTGCTTTTAAAATAGCAGTTTCAAGCTTTTTCAATTGCTTTAAGCAAATCATTTGGGACATTTAACTTATGAATTCTGATCGGATAAATTTAAGCTGATAAATTTGATCTGATAAATTTAAGCTGATACTTTAAGCTGATAAATTCGATCTGATAAAGTTGATGTGATAAACTGGATCTGATAAATTAGAGCTGATAAATTTGATGTGATAAATTTGAGCTGATAAATTTGAGCTGATAATTTAAGCTGCTAATTTGATGTGATAAATATGAGCTAATAAATTTAAGCCGATAAATTTGACGTGGTAAAGTTGAGCTGATAATTTGATTTAATAAATTTGATATCAGATCTTAGGATTACAAAATTCTATGCCTTTCATTGAATGTAGTATTTGATAACTAAACTGTTAGTGTAAATTTGTTTTATCTTGTAACTTTAGGGAGTTTAATAAAATAAAACGAAATGCTAAATGCTAATTGCTTCAATTATCTATTTTCTTATTGCTGAAAAAGCGGGAATTCTAAAATAATTTGGAACTCTCCGTTTTTAGCATTTTCTCAAAACTCGCAAGAATACTGATCGTCAGAGAATTTGGAATTAAATTGAAACCCGCTCACTCACTGAAGATAACTATTTGTTTCCGTAATTCATTTCCCAAGTAAATGAGAGTGTTTTTAAACTGAAAAACACTAAAACTAGATCAAATTTGGTTTAAAAATCATTTATGATTAAAAATGCTAAATTTTGATGCTAAACCTGGGTCAAATTTATGTTGTCAAGAGCTCTATTGCAAAGCCAAGAGCTCTATTGCAAGCCAAGAGCTCTATTGCATCACAAATGAGCTAAGGAAACAAGAAATGAAGGCATGATTTATTCATGTCTTTTAGATTTTATTTTCCATTTTATGCAATCTTTCATGTCTTTTATATTCTATTTCCTATTTCTCTTTCCTCTTTTCTCTCCATTTTTATTCCTTTTCTTTGTTGGGGTTTCTTTGTAATCGGATATTCGAAAGCCAAAAAGATCGACCCCATTTTTTTGAGTCTTTAGTAAGAATTTGTGGGAAAACATTTTCCCATTAATTGAATTTTGATCTATTTTTTTAATCCTGCCAACTTTATACCAAAAGAATTAGCTTTTTCAAATCAAAGAATACTGATCGTCTGAGAATTTGCAATGAAATTGAAACCCGGTCTTCAGATCTTCAGATTGTGAGCAAGTGCTTAGCTAAATCTTGTCTTTATTTGCAATTCTTGTTAAAATGCATTTGTTTTCAAATTCTCCAAATCCTATTCCATTGGGATTTTCAGTTTAGATTTTCCAATCTTCTGCAAGTTTTTTTTGAATTTTTAGATTCAAATACCCAATTAGTGAGCATCTCATTAGTCCCTTTTGAGTCTCTTCCATCCCTAGAATCTTTCCTGAAAAAAATTCTCTGAGTCATCTCATGTTTTAGAGTTTTTTTTAAACCATATAGAAGATTTATGCTTTTACAGGATACTGACAAACCTTTGACCCTTAGGAGACAACGGTTGGCGATTTTTTAAACCATATAAAAAACTGTTTAAAGTCTTGTATCAGATTTTGGTGATGATGCACTTCTCAAGCAGTGCATCATCACTCTTTTCCTTGTTTATCTTGTCTTTTCTTCTTTCACTTGACAAGTTAACGTACCGAATAGCTCAGTGGTTAGAGCAATTGCTCGGGGAAAGGCAAAAGATCGAGGCTTCAATCCCCTCTATCTACTTTTTCTTGTCAATTCCTTTACTTCTTTATTACTGCTGATAAAGTTAATACTATTATAGCTCAAACTTTCTTTAATGTATCATTATAGCCTTAGTTCCTTCTTTCTTTCTTCTTTCCTTTTGTCTTTTTTTCTTTCTCTTGGTAAACTAAGGCACTGGATAGCTAGTAAATACTGTAATAGTACCCCACCCCCATAATGACGGTGCGGAGTGTTGCGTAGTCTAGCTTTGAACGAGTTTTTCTCGATACTGGTTTATGCTACAATGCTCGCTTAGGTATCTTTTACTTCCTCTTCCTTTCTTCTTTCCCCTTGTCTTTCCTTCTTTCACTTGACAAGTTAACGTACCGAATAGCTCAATGGTTAGAGCAATTGCTCGGGCAAAGGCAAAAGATCGAGGCTTCAATCCCCTCTCCGGGAATCTACTTATTCTTGCCAATTTTTCTAGCGTACTATATTGACTCGACTCTACAAGAGTTCTTTGTTTTAACTTAATCAAACAACCGTATAATTTTCTTCATAGTACATATTTATTCATTTTTTTATTAAGGCAAAAGAAAAGGACATTATTGACCGGCTTTTCTTTCAAACTATAAAGCGTTGGGTACAATTGATCTTGGATTAATCTTTCATCCCTTTTCAACGCTTTTTTTTTCGTTTCTGAAAACACGAGATTAAGACTAGAAAAGTGTGACTAGTTTCTTATAATAATTAAGAGTTTATAGAAAAATTTAACGGTTAACGAATAACATTGAAATTCTTATTCAGGTAATTTTACCACATAGCTTCAAGGATGAAATGATTGCAGCAGAAGGGATGCATTTACCTCTTTGAGCACAAAGTATAGTCTAAATGAAGATTTTGAAGTTTAAATCTAAATCAAACACTAATCTAAATCGTTTTTTCAACAAAACAAGAGTGGTGTAAAGAAGATTTTCAATGTATGAAATGCTGAAAATGCTGAAAATTTATGTAATTTTCTTGAAAGTCAAGGATTTTTTGATCTATTTTGAAAGCCGATTACTCATTTGATTCATTCACTTATTGAAAATATTAGCGTTTTTTTTGATGATCATCCCATCCTTAGTTCATGTGTCAAACCACTATTTGACAGCTCTAGCTAGATATAAGCAATGATTCCCACTAAGAAATCTTTACCAATTACATTATGAGACAAATTACTATAATCCTTGGATCACTGTCGGCTTTCTTTTGGCATTACTCAGGTAAGCTGAGCAAATTATTTGCTATTTAAAAATATAGTACCTTTAAAGAAGAGATCGAATTAGGAATTCTCATTTAAATTCTATTATCGGCAGGTATGTGTAGGGCAGGTCTTTTTTGAATTTGTCTCAAAGATTAGATCAACTAAATCCGTGTTTCAATTGATAAACTCAAGAAAATGAATAACTTCAATCGATTCGCCGACCCCTAAAACCCTCGGATACAAATTTCCTACTGAATATCTTCTTTTTGTGCCATCTAAAAAGCAAAAGAAAAATCTCTATGACTGGTGAAGTGTTCTTTGTGCGGTCGCGTAATTCCTTTCGATCTGGCAGACCCGTACGGTATGCCTTGTTTTCCTTTTGGAATCCATGAGGAGCCAAGAAAACGGGAGAGTTCGGTTGCTCACCGGCTCCTTCTGCCGAGGCTAAAAAGAATCTCCCTGACTCGAGCGGCCCGCCAGGTCGTGAGTGATTACACGAATTAGGAATTCTCATTTAAATTCAACTATCGGCAGGTATGTGTAGGGCAGATCTTTTAAATTTTGTAAATTTTGAATTTGTCTAAAAGTCTGTCTAATTTGTCTAATTTGATCAACTAAATCCGTGTTTCAATTTCAAAGATTTTCAATGTATGAAATGCTGAAAATGCTGAAAATTTATGTAATTTTCTTGAAAGTCAAGGATTTTTTGATCTATTTTGAAAGCCGATTACTCATTTGATTCATTCATTTATTGAAAATATTAGCGTTTTTTTTCTGATTTCCTTTTTCCTCAAAAGTAACCCAGTATCCGACTTTATTTTAAACAATTGCAACATATTTTTTTCACGAGAAATGATTTATGATTCGGAAATTAGCAATTTCCGTTCTAAACTCTTTGTTTATCATGAAAATTACTGTAATCACGGTTGATTTATAAGGCTTAAAAGAAATTGAGCAAAAATTTGAGTACAACTTGGTACTTTTCTATAGTTTTATACAAAAAAAAAAATTGATAAATTGATATTTTCTGTAACAGTAGTGCGCACTACAATTTCTTTCACCCATAAGTACCAAAAGAAGTAGTAGCAATATGTCAAAAAGTTAATTACAAGCACAATATGTTAGTCATTGTACTAAATAAATAGTCACAATCTCATAATAGCATCTCATTTAGCTACCAGTATGCTTTTAAAACAAAGGAAGTCAAAGGGAACAAAACAGCAAATTTTAGCTGAGTGCACTACTATTTTTTTCAATTCCCCTCCTGCCTGCACTAGTATTATAGACTACACTAGTATTATAGACTACACTAGTATTATAGACTGCACAAGTATTATAAACTACACTAGTATTATAGACTACACTACTATTATAGACTGCACTACTATTACACAAAATACGGTATTACTTTAAAAATCAAGAATTTCTGTTCATAAAGTTTTCAAATTTTCCAAAAATTCGATTTCTCCTCAAATTTTCCCACACATTTTTGTCGTTTTTACATTTCCGTGGATGTAATTCGAAAAAATAAAAGCTTTTTTTTGATTAGTTTCTTAAAGCTTTTAAATTTTGATGTTTTTTTTATATAAAAATTGTTTAGTGAGAAGTTTTGTTGAAAAAAAAATGTCTTAAATTGCTTGAAAAATGACTGAGATTCCAATTGATGAGATCGCTCTTGTGCCAACTGGTTTGTTTTCTTTCTCTAAAGCACGATTTTATCATTTTAAAGCTTAATTTAAATGTTTATATTTGAAATTTCTCAAATTTCAGCGAGCACAAGTCACAACAATACAGGCCGAGAAGGAGTTCAGGTGTTTTAATGTTATTTATTACCGTATTTTCTCTAATAGTAGTGCACCCTGACTGTCGCCTAAATTGCTCGAAATCTCGAGAACCGCTTATCAGAACCTATCGATGTGGGGTCGGAAAATGTAGCTGACGATGAGATCTAGTGGAGGATTTGAGTGTTTAGCTTCTGCAAAAGCTTGGAAACCGTAAAATCGTCATCAACTCGGCGGGGTGCACTACTATTAAAGAGAATACAGTATATAGCTTAAGATAAAAGATCTGGCTGAAAACTAAGTTAACAAACACATATCTTGCAACATTAGCATTCAAATATTTTCAAAAACATCCGTTGATACCCAAGCTAAAAATAAACTCCAAAAAACGAGCTCAACTTTTTACTGGTGATAAAGCGTTTAGCGAGAGATGAATAGATTGATACCATAATGGGAAAAGGAGAAGTAAAGGAATAGGAGAAAAAGGCCAGAGGGAGCTCTTGCATGTCTTCATGTTTTCATGTTATTTATTACCGTATTTTCTCTAATAGTAGTGCACCCTGAGTGTCGCCTAAATTCCTCGAAATCTCGAGAACCGCTTATCAGAACCTATCGATGTGCGGTTGGAAAATGTAGCTGACGATGAGATCTAGTGGAGGATTTGAGTGTTTAGCTTCTGCAAAAGCTTGGAAACCGTAAAATCGTCATCAACTCGGCCGGGGTGCACTACTATTATAGAAAATACGGTATTTCATGTTGATAGAGTTTTCATATTTAGTTTAATCTTTAGTAGAAATCCATTTCTATTAGATAATTCTAGAATACTTTTACAGCTGATGAAAATTTGAAATCTAATACAACTTCAGGTGGTAGTGCGACAAGGCGATTGTGCCTCTCGACGGAAACACCTTCTCACAAAGATTCGTCGATTCCCATTTTGCTATATTTTGGTGAGTTTTTAATATTAAGACACTAAATCAAAATCTATGTGCAACCTTTATTTAAGCTCTTTGTATATTTTTGAACAAATCAACATCACTTATCCAAAAACCCTCGTCATTTTCATGTTCCCACATAAAACTAAACCCTCATCGATCTCTCCTTTCCTCCCTTTTTTCTCTCCGATAATCTGTATTGTAAAAGTTTTGTTCTCTAGATAATGAGGGTTTAGTTAGAAAAGGATATTTTTCATGTCGTTGAATATTTACTATAATAAGAAGCGGATTCATGGTGGATGGATTCTAGTGGGTGCTATTTTTCGAGTAAATCTATTAATAACTTGACTAGTGATGGGTCATCTACTTCAAGTCATCGAGTTCAATCTAAAACTTTCTAATGACTACTAAAATTTTCGGTGTTTTTTGATACCAGCTCAGTAAGAAAAAGAGAATTTTGCTCGAGAATTCAGAGTCAAAAAACTTTCAAACAAGTGAATTCCATCTTATCTAGCATCTGCAAGGCCTGCATGAACTTCAATTGGTTAATTTTTCTTCTAACTAGGGAGAGGCAAAAAAAACTAAACCCTCATCGATCTCTCCTTTCCTCCCTTTTTTCTCTCCGATAATCTGTATTGTAAAAGTTTTGTCCTCTAGATGACGAGGGTTTAGTTAGAAAAGGATATTTCTCATGTCGTTACATATTTACTATAATAAGAAGCGGATTCATGGTGGATGGATTCTAGTGGGTGCCATTTTTTGAGTAAATCTATTAATAACTTGACAAGAATCTTATTTGTTTTATAATTCTAGCTTTGAAGAACAAACTGAACCTAGTCCGTTAAAATGGGAATGAAGGGATAAAAAGGGATTTCAATGGAGAAATTGATCCTAAAAAATCTGGCAAAATGAAGCGAAGGAAACGAGAATTTCAATCGCTCACCTTTATAGAAAAGGGGAAGCATGTTATCCCAAATGTGTTTGCCAGATCGTGAGCGATTACGCTGCACAAAGAACACTTCCAAAGAACACTTATTTTCTGGGAATTTTCTTTTGCTTTGTAGATGATACAAAAAGATATTCAGCTGTAAATTTGTAGCCAGGGATTTTCGGGGTTGAAGAATCGATTGGAGCTATTTATTTTATTGAGTCTATCAATGAAGATCGGTTTTAATTGGTCAAACGGTAGGCCAGATTGGACCCCTCGACTGAAGCCATTCATTTTATTGACTCGGGTTTAATTCGTCGAAATTTTTGACAAGAAGCATCAATCAATCCCAAAAAAATCGATTGATTGTATGGAAAATTGAGGGCAATTATTAAATTTCTTCCTCATTTACTATAAGTGCTCTTTGTTTCTTTACAAACCCAAATATCATTCATTTGTTTCAGGTGCTCGCTTTGGGTATTCTTCTTCTTCTCTCTATTCTCAGCTGCATTCTTTATGAGACGTACAGGTGGGTTAATTTTATTTGTTTTTTTAGTCATTTTCAAGAAATTAATTAGATTTTGGCTTTTTTACATTTGTGATTTGTGGGGATCACGGAAGCAATCTGTAATGATTATTGTTGGTTTAGATATAATCTTTATTACAGCAATAATAGTTGGTTCAGTGGTTTGGGATTGGGAGAGTAGAGGATTGGGAGGGAGGGATTGGGAGGATTGGGAGAGTAGAGACGACTCCACGGCACACCTCGGCAGCTCATTCACGTTGCTTTTATACAGAACTTTGGCGTTGGTCTCGTCTTGAACACAATGGAGTTGAACGGATAGTCACCAACTCGGCGAGAGGCACTACTATTAGAGAGAATACAGTTAAACGCATATTAAATCTCGCACAATAGGCCCACAATGGTGTCTGGCTGGCCATTTCCATCCTTGGTGATCTCGATCACGAGATGTGAATGAGCTGCCGAGGTGTGCCGTGGAGTCGTCTCTACTCTCCCAATCAGTTTCTCAATGCGTTCAAAATGGAACTTGAAACGTTTTACAATTGGACTTGAATAGCGGCTAATTAACGAAAGCTCTAAAATCAAATGAGCTTCAGAAAATGTCATAAGAATTTAAAGTCTAACAAAAAACCAATTTGAATCCGAAAACTATTTTCTTTTAGAAATGGAACCCTTAATTTCGAGCATGAACTCGTCGAACACAACATCGATGATCGGGAGTATCACATGAAAATCGTGAATGAAGTGAATAGCAATCAGAAATCGACCTGGAAAGTGAGTGATTTTTAAAAAACTCAAAGATAACAGTTGATTAGCAACAAAAACAGCAAAAAAATTTACGTTTCTAGGCAAAATACAATCGATTCGCCTCGAGATCTCAAGAGAATAATTCAGAGGATTTGGGAGAGGTTTGGAAACAAAAATTATTTAAAAAAGCTTTATTTTAATTGATATTTTTAATCAATAATCAATAATCAATAAGGCAGAATCAATAATTTTCTTTTCCATTTCATCAAATTTTAGGTCAGCAAGCTTTTAACGAAAAAGCAGAACCTCAGCGATGAGGCTTTACTACAAGACACGAAGGAACACTTGGAGTCTTTGATAAAGTAAGATTTACAGTTTAGTTCTTCTCAGAAATCTGGATCTTTTGAAAAATACGATGTCTTTTCATCGGGAAAAGCTATCAAATACAAATTCAAAGCCAGTTTGATTTTTCTATATTCTTTCTGTCAAGTTGATGTAGAATTTGTAGCAAAAGATTCAAATTTTCGAGAAAAACCCATATTTGTTTAGAATATGTAAATATGATTACTAAAGCTTAAATTCTTTTTTTTAGAGCACCGTTGAATTTGCCGAAATCCTTCGACTCGCGACTTCAATGGCCAAAATGCGCGACGATTCACGAGGCGCCGAATCAAGGCGGTTGTGGGAGTTGCTGGGTTGGTTGGAATGATGAATTTCGAATTAGAAATTCGAAATTCATTTTTCCCATTCCAATTTTCCTTTAGTCCGTCTCAGCTGCTTCAACAATGTCTGATCGGCTTTGCATTGCCACAAACGGGAGTGTTCAGGAACAGTTGTCCGCTCAGGATCTCACCTCTTGTTGTCACAATTGTGGAGGGTTAGTTTTAAAGATAAAAACCAAGATTTCATGGAATCTAAAGAAATTTCAATATATATTTTAATATATAATATATCTTTCAATATATTTCAATATTAATATTCCAACTTTCAGATGTCAGGGCACTCACTGGGCACACTCTTCTTTCGTCTACTGGAAAGAACACGGGATTGTGACTGGTGAACATAATTTCAATTACAATAAACTAATTTGATTGCTTTACTAATTATATATTAATTTTCAACTAAAATACGGTAATTCTCTACAATTTGGTAACTTTTCTCTACAATTACACTACTGGACAATGAAATATCATATTTGAAAAAAGATCGTCACTTTCGCGCGTCTGTAACTCCCTTGTCTTTACCGTATTTCTAAATATTAATATTACCATTGTGTAGCCCTTGAAAAGAGCTTTCAGAAAATGTATAACACTAATAGTTTAAACTCAAAGACAAGGGAGTTACAGACGCGCGAAAGTGACGATCGTTTCTCAAATATGATCTTTCATTGTCCAGTACTGTAGGTTCCTTTTCTCTACAATTTGGTTCTCTTTCTTTACATTTGATTCCCTTTTCTCTACAATTTGGTTCCTTTTCTCTACAATCGGTTCCAGGCGGTGACTATGGCTCATGGGAGGGTTGTCGTCCTTACGAGATGCCACCAAATTGCGGATCCCCGTGCTCTTCCTCAACTTACACAAAAAAGCGCACTCCAAGTTGCTCACAAACTTGTCAATCGCTTTACGGGAAATCCTACTATGATGATCTATTCAAATGTAAAGTTAGAATGCGAATTTTAAATGGAAATTTGACAGGAAAATGCTTAGAAATACAGCCGAACCTCTCTTCGGCTTATCAGAATAGCTTTACAGAAAAAGCTTTACAGAAAAAAAGCTGTTTGTTCGAAAATTAACCTTTTTATCTTAAAATTTACGTATTAAGCTGAATTTTAACTTTCAAAATCTCAAACTTTCAGCCAGAAAAGCTTACTGGATTTGGGCGGAGAGAGGTGGATCGGAGATGACCCCAATCATCCATGAAACGATTCATTCGATTCTGAAAAGTGGTAAGGCTAAGGAAAGAAAAAGCAAAGAACTAAGATATCAAGGAATCAAAAGAAAGCCAAAAGAAGAACGCCAAAAGAAGCCAGAACTTTTCAGAATCGGGTACAGATATTATCAAGCGCGAGATTTTTTTGAACGGACCGATTCTCGCGTGTTTCACTCTGTATGAAGATTTTCAGCATTACGATAGCGGTAGATGACTTTATTATAAAATATTGTAGAAATCAAATTCAGGAATTTATAAACCAAACCGACTAAAGTCAAAAGAATTGTATGGTCATTGCGCAAAGCTGATCGGTTGGGGTGAAGAGGCGGGTGTACAGTATTGGACATATATGAACACGTGGGGGAGGAATTGGGGAGAATATGGTGAGTGGTTTCGACCAGTTAAAGCTATTAAAGAAGTAAGCTTTGAAGGAAAGTAGTTGGAGTTCTTCAGAAAGCTCTTTCATATCTATCTAAGCAATTCGTTCGCTGAATTTCAGGATTTTTCCGTATCGATCAATCCGAAGTTCCCGAAGAGGCAGTTGCGGGCTTACTTTAAAGCAAATCAACTTAAAATTGCATTTTTTTGAACTGTGAATAAAGTTCTTATACTTAAATACATATAAAACTTATAAATCAACTTCTTATCCTTACCGTAAATGCTCTAATAGAAGACTTATAGGAGCGTCGTGTAGTCGAAGTTTACTCTTAAACAAACGCTCATAACTCGACACCAGTACGTTTATTTCTGTGCGCTTAGTTATCAAATTAAAGTAGAGAAAATGGGTAATTTTTTGAGATATAACCCACATTTTTAGCATTAACCAGCGCTTAGAAAAAGTAATTGAAAAATGATGAAGAATCCACTCTTTTTTGCCACTTTTTCTTTTTCCAGACGTTTCCGCGCCAAACGTCGGGAACTACCGTAACCAGACACCATAAAACGACCCCGCCACGAAGATTTTTTCAGCCTTTTCCCTTCAAGCTCTTTTTTTTGCCACTTTTCAATAATTTTTTTCTTAGCACTGTTTAATGCTAAAAATATGCGTTATATCACAAAAAAACACCCATTTTCTCTACTTTAATTTGATACTTAAACGTGTAGAAACAAACATACTGGTGCTAAGTTATGAGCGCTTTTTTTTGCTTTTAAACTTAGACTACGCGACGCTTCTATAAGGGGGTCTTCTATTAGAGCTTTTACGATATAAAACTGATAAATGAGTGCAGAATCCAGCGATAGCAATTGTTCAAGTTCAATGAAGCAAATTCAGCATTTGTTCAAATTCAATACTGATAGAATATGATTTCAAATTCTCACAAGAGTTTAAATTACGATAAAATCACTTGTAAGCTCATTTACTTAAGCTTACTTGTAACTACTTGTAAGCTTAACTTACTTGTAATCTTGACTTACTTGTAATCTTAACTTACTTGTAATCTTAACTTACTTGTAAGCTTAACTTTCTTGTAAGCTTAACTTTCTTGTAATCTTGACTTACTTGTAATCTTAACTTACTTGTGATCTTAACTTACTTGTGATCTTAACTTACTTGTGATCTTAACTTACTTGTAACTCTAAACGTTTTCAAAGTTTCGATAATTTATTCAAGTGTAATTGAGCAAAAAGAGAAAACGGGACAGTGAGTGCACAGAAATTAAAGTTTAAAAGTTTCAATAAAAAGATTGAAAGCACTGTAATTGATTGTTTTTATAAGAAGTTACTCGTGTGAAGAAAAGGTGAAAGCAAAATTGAAATTGAAAACTTTGAACTTCAAATTTGCATTTCAACTTTTAGAACTCGAAAAGGACAAGTGGAAAGAAAAACTTATATAGAAAGCTAAATAAAACTAATAGAAAATATTATTAAAAGAATCAAATAAAGTGGAAAAATCACAAAAAGCACGAGAAGTAAAGTGATAGGAAAGCCTAGGAATCGGATTAGTTGTGAGCTTTGGAAATTTGAGAGCTTAACTAGCTACGGGTTTTGTAACAGATTTGCAGAAAGGCAGGGTTATTCTAAAGGTAATTTTTGAGCTATCAAGTGCCAGACCTAGACATGGATCTAGCTCTGACTCTGGTTTTGTCCTTGCCTTGCTTGACCTGGCCTACAGATTCTAGGAACGTTCCTGATACTGGCGTAAAAGCTGTCTGTGATAATAACACTTAAACATACTATCTGTGAGCTTTTTGATTAAAGTTACAGGTTTCTTTAACCCTAAAGCTTTTTCGTAAAGATTCAAAAGCTCACAACTCTTTCAAAAGAACCGGTTCAAAGTTAAAGTTAAACAAACAAGCAATTAATCAATTTCTAAAGGACGGCGCTGACTTGGTTCATCGACGCAGCTCTTGACGGTATGTTTCTCAGAAGTGTTTGAGTGGGGCGCTGTTGGTGGAGTGATGGAGAGGAACCCGATGGTTGAAGGTTGAATCCCCTTGTCCTCCTTGTCTCCCATCCGATCTCCCCTCTCCTCCCCAGACTCCCATTCCGTGATGGTCCCACACCGGCACGGACCAGCTCCCCGAGTGGTGTAACATCTGAATCTTGGAATTTTAGAGAATTCAGCTTGTCCGATAAAAGGTTAGCTGTCAGGTCAAAGTCTAGAATCAACTTCTGGATTCAGTTCTTGAACAATCCCCCAAAACTCTCTGAACATGCTCCTCTTTCTGGATAAACGCTGGGTACCTGGCATGCCTTTCTTTTTGGATAAACGCTAAATACCTGGGGCACGGCGCGTGCGGGGAGTTGTTGCTGTGACTGAGTTGAATGGAAGTAGGTTGGCTGCAATCTGAAACAAAAGAAAGGTTGAAAAACCAAGAGAACCAGTGCAAACTAGCAAAACTTAAAACACAAAGCTCTACCGAGTGCCTCTGGTGGATGGGGCGCTTGGGGGTAAATGGAGAAGAGAGGCGGAGTTGCTGGTCCGCTGGAAGGTGGACATTGGACTGATGGAAGACATGGAGGCGGGACCGTTGACACTGTTGTGCGAATGAGTGAGTTGAGTTGATGGTGGTCTTTGCGGGGCGTTGGTGCTTCTGGTGGGTGAGGGTCCGCACGATGAGGGGACTCGGGGGAGGGGTCCTTGGGGACCACAAAGCGCCGCTCGACGAACCGCCGGACCGCGGCTACAATCAGAAAAATTTCGTACTAATTAGATAGATTTTGCCCATTTTGAATATCATTCGATGCAGAATGAAATTGCGCATCGAATGATACCAAAACCAAATCGAAAGCTAATATCCACGTAAAGTTGTTGGCTAAAAACCTAAAGTCGACCTTTTGCCTCATAACTTTCCATGGATATTATATTTTGAGTTAGTTTTGGTATTATTCGATGCGCAATTTTATTCTGCATTCAATGATAGTCAAAATGGTCAAAATAGAAGGATTGGTGCTGAGAAAAATACGAAAAACCTTACCACGCTGGCTACCGTAACCTCAGTTTGTATCATTGTACCGCAATTTTTGGTAAATCTGTATTACTTGTCTTAATTATTCAAAGTTAAGCTAGTTTCTAGTAGTCTACCGTAGTCTAGTCCGTCGGAAAGTAGGATTCTATGATAACTAACTATATAGGGCTACGGTATCATCTATTATGAGTACGGATTACTGTAACTGGAGCAGGCTTTAGAGCTTACTTTAGACTTAGTCTTACTCTTTCTTCCTTTCTTCCTCTTCCTTGTCTTTCCTATTTCTTCTTGGGTAAAGAAAGCGCCAATAACTTAGCGATAGAGCATCTAGCTGGTAAGCAGAAGGTCGAGGGTTCAATTCCCCTTGGTTCCAAATTCTTTGCCATTCATTTCTTTACTTTACTCAATAACTCTTATCAATAAGTTATGTAAATTGTAACTTTTACAAGGAGAGCTTAAGTACTTGAGCATTCTCATAGCTATCATACTGCTTAAGCTCTCTCTGCAACTTGTAGAAACTAAGCCAGCATCGGCAAACAAAAGAAGTGATTCTAACAAGCATTTAGCATTCAAAACAAGCAACGATTGTTCTATTCAAACCTGTAATGTCCCGTGGCCGATGCCGAAAACTGTTCCGTAAAGGGTGCGCCTCCGTGGTGGCTGATGCTGCTCGCCGACCGAACCGATTGTGTCGAACTGAACCAATCAATAAAAAAGGAAAACAAACATACAAACAAAACCAGAGCTTTATAAACTTAAGCAAACTTTGATAAAGATTAAGTTCAAGTACACTAAAGAACTTAAAAATCCTGAAACAATCGCCAAACGACTTCATGAACTTAGAACTCTACTTTTACATGTAACTTCTCATTCTAATCCTTCAATTTTACTTGATTGCATGTGTCCTTCGGAGTCCTTGGCTCCTTTTGCGTTCTTCGGCGTAGGAGAGTGTTCCACACTCCACTGATTCGTTTTCGTACCGATTGCTGGCCGGCGGTACAGCTGTCGCCTGAAATTTTATTGATATAGAAGATGAATTACAATAATATAGATTTCTAGAATTTACCGGACGGGACATCGTGATGGTGAGTGGCTCCGGGCGCGTCTCTTCCCGATTGGACGTTGGGGGCAATGGGGGACGACCCGATTGATTGCCCCGCTTTCCTGAAATTCAATTTGTATCTGGAACTCCCGTTGAGAGGCTTACCTGACTGTGACTTCGGATTGTTGCTGGTCGGGAGTCGGCTCGGACTTGACGATTTCTTCGTTGATTGGGACTCTTTGCTTGATGGTTTGTTGTTGTTCTGTTCTGCGTTCTGTTGTTCCTAAAATTTGTTTCCTAGAGATTGAAAATAGATGCCTTTTCAAAGGTAGAGTGAATGGAATTATGAATTTGTTTGTTTTCAACTACCTTGAATGAGTTGCGCTTGAGGAGAACCCGGCGTAACTCCCCAACAAAGCTGGTCGCTCTTTGAGAGCCCGTCGAGGGACGCTGTTTCTCCCAAAGACGGCCCTAAAAGAGGAAAGTTTTTGGATTTTGGAAAACATTATCATTGTCAGTTTTTTTTTCAGAAATTTTGCTAGTTTCATGCCACTTGCATGTTAAAGTATTACCACATTCTAGAACAATGTGGATTTCACTCAAAAAACAAGACCAAGAGAAAGAAGAAGGTTGGTCTAAAAGTGACCGCAAATTGAACCAAACTTCGTATGACTTTTCGGCGTTCAATTCTGAAATAGAAAAAGGGATTCTTGAAAACCAGAGTTTCAAGTTCTTCTTTTGAGTTATGGATTACCGAAATTTTGAATGGAAGTGATTAAAGTAGGCTGTAGACGTTTACAGGAAGATTTTAAGTTAACACTTCTAGTTCTAAACTCAAAAGAACTTGGATTGTTAGCTTAGGCATTTGTAAACTTAAAGGAAACTTGGATTTGAGCTGCATAAGCTTTACCAAAATTCTCTTTGACAGCTCATTGTTTTGAGCTCTTTGAGCTGAGCACTTTGAGCTAAGCACTTTGAGCTGAGCTCATTGTTTTGAGCTCTTTGAGCTTCTCTTTGACTGTCTCATTGTTTGTGATCTAGTTTCTTAAAACCTATAGCAATCAGTAGAATAGATTTCTAGAATTCCCAAGAATTTCATGCAAAGACATTCCCAATATTTCATGCAACAATTCCCATGCCAACAATCTCTTTTCATTCCCGATTTCTCATGCAGAAGCTACCTCCACGCTTCGGCACCCCTCCGAAACTGTTATACTAAAATGTTTAGCTAAAATTGCGAACTAGCAAGTATTCCTCTAAAAAAGCAGCTACATTTCTTGTGATGATAAAGACAAGAAATTTATAAAAGCAGAGCTCTAGACGGCCTTCGATCTTTCATTTTCTCATGTTAATCAATATTCAGACAATTTTACTGTTTTGCCTGATGATTAGATCTAATCAAATTTCCTTTTCATTCTCAAAAAATCACTCAGCGCATGCTAAAACGTTCACTTACGTTGCCGTTTGCCGTCGTGCATCTAAATGATATGAGAATTTTGATGAAAATGTGCTAGATGAAAACTTGTAGTTGTTGAGGTAAGTGAGTTCATCATGTTATACAAAATTTCCTACAGAACTTGATAAGTTAAGATCTTTGAATTGACTATAAGGTGAACAAAAAGAACTTGGAGCTGTTTTTTAAGCCAAAGCCAAATCAAGTGAAAGAAAAAGTTAAAGATTGAGTCGAATTTGGTTTCACTTGGTTTAGTAGATCTTGAATCAGATTTACTGAGTGAAATGAGGTGACATGAGAAAAGAAATGAGCTTTCTCTCAATATTTCAAAATAGAACATAATTTTAAATTGAAATCATAGAAATTCAAATTTCAAATCTTTTGCCTAACAAAAGATATAAATTCATAATTTAAGATGAAGCTGTTTACAATCTAAAAGTTAATGTTACAATGATTACAATCTAAAAGTTAAGTCGTTAATTCTTTTGTTTCCTTCTCCTACCAGTGTAATCAGGTGATGGTGGTTTTGGTGGTGGCAGAGTGTTGATCTCCTCATCATCAGTAGACACAATTGTCGCGTGAAGGGGAATCGAATCAGCATCTTTCATTGATGTAGAAGCTTGATCATGATTTGTGGCGGGTACAGGTACGATGGAGATCATTTCGTCGGTTACTTCGGGTTCATCATATTCATGTGGTGGAGGCGGGGGTTTGGTGGTCGGTGTGGGCACGTTTACGCCGGATAATCGATATGTTAATCTCGGTTTGCTCGAACGATCACTTGGATGGTCAAGTGTTCGATCTTTTCTCTCATCCTTCTCCTTTTCGTGTTCATAGATCTCGGCTTTCGGTGCTGAAGCGGTAATCGATGGTAATCGATTGAAATTCGTGCTAGTCTGGCGGTGCAACTCTGAAATTGTTATCAAGTGTAAGAAATCAAAAAAATAAATTGTGAATGTGATTCTGGTGAGCTAAGAATAGTGATAAGAGATTGATCAGCCGAACTATTAGAAATGCAGTTGACAGCAATTAAAATGAGCAATTAGAACACCTCAGGCTAACTTTTTATTGACTTTGACTTCTAATTTTGACCCACCAGAGTCTCATGAAACATTAGTTTTGAAAAATTTAAACAAAACATTGTTTGAAAGAATTATTTATGTAAAGAAAAACTCTCGTTAAGAAGTTTTTTTTACACTTTCACAACGTTATTTTGTTAACTTTTCAGTGAGAAAAAACATTAAACGTATTTTTTTGAACTTTTTCAAAGAAAACCAACCTTTTCGAACGACTTGTTGCCGTGAGAGTGGCACTTCTTTGATGGCTCTTTGCGGGGGTGGAGCTTGTCGTAATTGAACGAGTTTCCCATTGTGACCTTCGATTTGTTTGGGTTTCGCTAGACGTGCGTGCCCTTCAGAGTCGGACACCACTGAAGAGGCGGGACTTCGACCCTAGAAGAGTGATTGTTGAGAATGTGGGATTAAAATTGTTTTTCTCTGCACTTAAAACATTTGATCTTTTTTTCAGAATGTTTTTTTGAGGTAGCTACCTTCTTTTAAACCTCGGAATGCACAAGAATGTTTGGATTCAGCTTTGACTTTTTTACTTCAAGCCTTTTTGAATATGATTCAAAGGATTCAATGAAAAGAATCGGCCAAGGGAGGGTTCGAACCTAAGCCAAAGAACTTGATAGGCTCAGGAGGCTAGCACACTATCCGCTAGACCACCGAAAGCTCGGAAAGTCGGAAAGCTTCTTTGTGGCGGCCTTATGAGAATCCCATGAAGGGAATCTTCTTAGCCAGATTCCATGTTGGTCTTTGCAGCTAATTTTTACAGATTCAGAATCAACATAGCTAATCCTATGAGATGCACTCGATCACGAAGCAATTCTGAACTTCGAAGTGATCAGAATCAGCTATGAGAAGCAATTCTGAACTTGAGCTGGTGTAATTCCCTTGTTAGTTTCAAGCTTTTCGGTAGATAGGAAACTTGAATACCCACCTGATAGCAATTTGATCCATTCGAGCTCCAGCTTCCTGAATCAAAGAGTTCTCGATTCGAGTCATAATCGGAAGTGGTCGAGTATGATCGATCAAACATGACATCCTGCAGCCGAGGACGGGGCGGACCGCGCCTTTTCGACTAAAAGAGAAATGGAAATTAGTGATAAAACAAAAAGCATGCATTCACTCTAAATCTAAAGTTTACACTTCAATCTTTGAAAAGGAAATTATTGGACAGAGGACAGTACCACAGTGATATTACGCTGATCACATACGTCCGGAGAGCGAGAGCGAGAGGCGACCAACGAATTCGCGCACGTTGAAGTGGAACCATTCGGCACATTCGATCCCCCACCAAGTACAGCCACCGCGTCGATTGATTTCGTCGTTTGATCCCACCTAGAAATTGTTAAATGTTTGTTAAAGCCAGAATAACATCATAGAAAATCCTCAGGACTAATCATTTCTATCACATTTTTCAAACATTTTAAACCTTTGTTTTGAAATATTCTGTTAACTAGTTCCCTGTCTCAATTCTTAAATAACTTTTGATTCACCTTTTGTTCCGGGACCGTGGTTGACATTCTCCTTGTGTACTGTCAGATCGAAGAGCTGAGTCCTCTCCAGAGGAATCGTCTGCCGACGGCACTTTGTAGTTCCTCCTGAAAAGGGAATTAAGCGTTTTTTTAAAACTCAATTATCTTTCTCCACCATGGCCAACTGGTTAAGAGTTCTTTATCTTAGTCAGGAGGTCAAGGGTTCAATCTCGCTGGCTAGATTATTGGTTCTTTTTATCTATATGGATTTTTCTTCTCTAAATTTAGGGCTTAGGGGTGATGATTGTTTTATTTGTACCACATTTGAATAAATTAATCTTTACCGTCGATCTTTGCGATCTCCTTTGATGCCAACTTGAGGTGCAAGGATCTGTTGTGAGATCTCTTGTTTTCCCAATGAAAGCGAGCTCGCCAATGTTGCTAACTGATCGACAGAAACTGGCAAATTGTGAAGAGATTGAGAGATCGTTTGGCTAAAGAATAAATTGAATAGAATCAACAGATTTATTAGGTTAACAAGAAGTTTGGGGGTTTAAAAATCATCGAATGATTCTTATTTTTAAAACATACCCATTCGCTTGTTTCACTGCAGCCGCAATGAGCTGTGTGAGCGCTTGAGTCGGATCGTTTGGTGACTGAAAGAATCAATTATAAATCAATCAATCAATTACAAGCAATCTAAATTTATATCCAAACTCTTTACCCCGTTTGGATTTGTTCCATAAGTCTCTTGTTGATTTATTTGAATTGAATTCGCTGGTTGATTGTAGATTGGAGTCGGTGCGACGAGAGTCGGTAAAGATGAATAGGCTGCTTCGGAGTGGCTTCGATTCATTAGGCCTGGAAATTTTGGTAGAATTCTAAACCTAGAACTACTAAACAATCAAAACTATTGTAATCTTGGCTCTAGCTTTTATCTAATCCATCAATTTCTGAAATCTTTCAACATTCTTTGTGTACACTACTGGACAATGAAATATGATATTTGAAAAAAGATCGTCACTTTCGCGCGTCTGTAACTCCCTTGTCTTTATCGTATTTCTAAATATTAATATTACCATTGCGTAGCCATTGAAAAGAGCTTTCAGAAAATGTATAACACTAATAGTTTAAATTCAAAGACAAGGGAGTTACAGACGTGCGAAAGGGACGATCTTTTTTCAAATATGAGATTTCATTGTCCAGTACTGTATCTTCACATTTTTTCGCATCTTCTTTGCAAAATCTTTCATATTTGAGAAACGATCGTCACATTCTCACGTCTGTAACTTTCTTGTTTTTGAGTTTCAACTATTAGTGCTATACATTTTCTGAAAGCTCTTTTCAAGGGCTACACAATGGTAATATTAATATTTAGAAACACGGTAAAGACAAGGGAGTTACAGGCGCGCGAAAGTGACGATCTTTTTTCAAATATCATATTTCATTGTCCAGTACTGTATCTTCACATTTTTTCGCATCTTCTTTGCAAAATGTTCACAAAATCAGATAAAAAGTGGAAAATAAGGTAGCTTTCGGGTTTTATTTTAGATTTTCTAGCTTTCTAGATTACTGCTTAGGTAGGTTTTTTAGCTTTTTAGATTATTGTCATGATTACGATAGCTTTCTAAAGTTTCTAGGTTTTAGAAAACGAGTTAGACAAGATTTCTTTACTTACTCATATTCTTGATATTCGGTATTCTTGATTTCAAGGTGTCCAGGGCAATCAAATTGATAACGGTGAACCAACAAGGAGTTCTGGAGAGAGAAATTCATTATATTAAATTCTATTTCTTAACCTATTCATGTCTCCTCCATCTTTCACCAATGCAACCCTCACTGTCGTTTTCAGTAATAAATTTTTCGCATCTGGTTGTCCATCCGAGATTTCTCGATCAAGAGCGCTCTTAAATCGGCGCATGTCGAAAATCTAAAGAAACTGCTTGATTTTAGAACTTTATTTGATCAAAATCTTTTCATTCTTTCTTTATTCTTTATTTCTATTGGGTTGGTGAATTGAAAACTGCAGGGTATTGTCATATGTGACAGTTTGAGCACTTTCTCCAAAAGAAACCCATTTTGGTGTCAATGGAAAAGTTGTAGAGAATCAAAAATCAAGCTTATATCCAAATTTTCAGAACGATTCAAAAACTGGTTTTCAAGAAATGCCAAATTTACGAATTTTCACAAAACTTGCATTTTAAGAGAAACTACTAAGTGTATCTTTTTGGAAATTTGGCTAGAAGCCTAATTTTTGATTCTCTACAACTTTTCTATTCACACCAAAATGGGTTTCTTTTGAAGAAAGTGCTCAAACTGGGACATCTCCAGTCCTCCATTTTTGAGTCTCACACTTGTCTCACACACAAACCAAAATCCTACTACGAAAGAGGAATCCGCAAATTACCTGTAAAATGGGCAGAAGTCGTCAATGATAATATAATATTCGTCTATAACCTATCTATCTTTCCTTACATTTCTTACAATAAATAGCCTTGTTTTGGAACTTTTGGCGCATTCCCCATATAGTCCGGACCTCGCCCCTTTTGATTACTATTTATTCTGGATCATGAGTAATGAGCTTGCGGGAGAACACTTCGATTCGGAAGGAGCAGTCAAAAATTGGCTTTGAAAGTTTTTCGATTCAAAACCAAAATCCTACTACGAAAGAGGAATCCGCAAATTGCCTGTAAAATGGGTAGAAGTCGTCAATAATAATGGAAATGATTTGGAATGAATTCATGGTTTTATGTTGAATAAATTTTAGTTCAAAGTCCGGCAGCTTTCAATTCACCAACCCAATACAAACCCTTAACCAACCTTGAATGCTTTATCCTCTTCATTCGTATTCAATCGGCCTTGTAGCCTCGCTAATCGATCAGAGATACAATTTTTCCTTCGTTCACTATCTAAAGAAAGAAATTTATCTAGAAAATCACTGTTTATTTATAAAATTCCAATCGAAAATGTTCAAAAAATGATCAAAAAACCTTTAAATCCAAGACATATGACCGGAGTAGTCCCTCTAGCCATTCCCTTGATATTCCCTTGATAATCGACTTTCAAAATCACTCCCTAAATCGTAAATTGAAAAATTTCCTTCAAAATTTGTTAAATTAAATTAAAAATTAAAGATTTACAAGTAAATTTCTGATACTCACATCACCAATTTTCTGTCGTATCTCTTCAGTGTTTTCATCTCGATAAGTGTTATCAAAACAATTGAAGCCAAGCGTTGAGCCGTCGAATTCATCCTGAAATTGTTTCAATCATTTTAAAAGGGCTATTTCGTTGCATTTTAAGTGACTTTGTGATCTTTTATCTAGTACATTTTTCATGTCGTTTTCGCACTTTATTTCTTTCTGAATAAAGTATTTATATAATGTCGAAATTTGAATGTTTTCATTTCAATTCTCATCTAATATTTGAATAAATATTCAAAAAAACAATTAAAATCCTAAAAACAAACTTCCGATCCATCGACAATAATCGTCGTTTTCCTCAAATAAGCCTTGGCAACTCGTTTGCATTTTTCCATGATCACGATTTTCCCCCAAATAGCATCATCGAGATTTCCCTCTTCAAGTTTGTCAAGCACCTCGCACACTTGATCCTAAAATTATTCATTTAAAAGTTTGATTTGAATTTTTTTTGAATTTATTGAGCTTTTACAATTTTCCCTTTTCATGATGTTGTCTTTCAAGAAATTCATAAAGTTTAAGGCCTAGCGATTGAAAAAAAAACAATCCTAACATCCTGTAGACATAACTTGATCCAGAACGAGTACAATATGGTACAGTAGATAAGAAAATTTCAACCTAAGCCTAATTCCATCTTTATTTTCTTGGCCGATTGCTCTGTTCACAGATAGAAATCAAAAATTTTCAGTTTGTAGCCAAAATTTCAGAGCAATCGACCAAGAAACCAAGAAAACCAAAGTGGAATTAGGTTCAGCTTGGAATTTTCCTGTGCCTAGTACAGTCAAAACCGGGAACGGCTTACCTGGACTGGACTAGATATGTAATCTAAGACTTATTTGTGATCTTTGCCAAGAAACCAAGAAAACCATAGTGGAATTAGGTTCGACTTGGAATTTACCATATCTATGTTTAGTATTCTTTCTTTCTAAACTTAAATGAATCAAAAACTACAATCTGGATAAGCAACAGTCATTGATTTTTTTTTCAAACAAGAAGCAAAAAGAAAAAACAAGAATGAATCATTTTAATGTACATTTGCATTTTGAAAAATTTTCTGATGCAAAGCATAAGATTACGGTAGCTTATCTTTAGCTTGTCTTTTTAGAAAACGTATTGTCTGCAAGGAACACACTCTAAGAATGATTGACTATCCATTTAATTTCTAAATTCCTTTCTTTATCATTTTCCGACTTCCAGACCTTGGCTTTCTTTGATCAAAAAGAAATATACTAACAATACTATTAAGCTAGCAAAACAAAATATTTGAATCATTAGCTTGAACATTGGTACAATTCCAATTTGTGATCTTTCCCCAACTCCCTTGGAAGATCTTTAACCCTTTCATCAACCCTTCTAGACGGTTTAAAGCTCTTCCATCCCTATTGCCAACGTGTCTTTGAATGAAGTGGAATGTGTCAATCTTTTTCTTTTCCTTTTTTCGAATAGGTGGCGTCGGCTCGTGGCTCCCCGTTGCACGTCACCAACGGGGCGATCGTTTTTCTCTCGACTCGCCTTTCTTTTGCTACTAGGATCCAGTTCTCTTTGCCATTCTGTCAGCGCACAGACCCGGTCCCACTTGACACACTCGCTTTTTTTTCTTTCTTATGCTGAAGCTTCCGAGTGACCCTGGAGATGATCGGGGACCAATGCACCCATGAGATTAAAAAGAAAAGGAAAAGGCCACAACAAACACTCAAAGTTTGCGATACTATGTCCATGAGAGCTGAAATGGACGATGAATGCTGGTAGCAAGATTGGTGGGAATTCAGAAAAGCTGTAATGGAAGGGTTGTCCAATACTTAGAATAGTACTCTTAAGTCAATTGGAGTTGTTAAAATCTGCAAAGAAGGTAGTTTTAGCTGTAAGCTATCTTATTGTTAGTAGGTTCAGATAATTTAACTCCAGAGCTTGTAAACTAAATCCGATTTGGACATAGTGAAGCCAAGATTATAGCCAAGCCAAGTCAAGTCAGTCAAGTCAGCCAAGTTCTCCTCTTTCCACAGATTCGTTTCTCCCAAAATTAACTCATAAAAGATGGACCGTTTTTGTCTTTTTTTAGCAACGCTTCTTTTTGCAATCTTTGTTTGGGTGAATCGAAAAGCCAGTGTAATCGGAGATTTCGGGGTTTTGTTTGTGTGAGTGTTCTTTCGGTCACTCAAAACAGGAACCTTACAGAGGGGGGAAAGAATTGAATGGACAACAGTGGACTACCATTTAAGAGAATTATTGTGCATCCTGGTATCAAAAGTGAACAAATTAAAGAAATAGTCTTTTAGTTTCAAAACTGAAGCTGAAACTGAAGCTGAAACTGAAGCTGAAACTGAAGCTGAAACTGAAGCTGAAGCTGAAGCTGAGGCTTTTGAAACGAACTGACTAGTGGGATCGAGTTGAAGACTGGGATTTGTGTGTCGTTTGTGTTCTACTGCAATACCGTAATCTATGCTGGCTAAACTGTTCTACAAAATTGACAGATTTAAGTCTATCTAATCCCTAAAATAAGGTGTGGTCCCTATTGTCTGATCTCACTCTGATTGGGGATCTCGAAAGGGTCGGCCATTTCTGTAAGCTCTAAAAGAGGTCCTCGACACCCACTCGACTCCTTTGAATTGCCCATCCCTTTACAGTTTCTCAATCCGTTTCATAGAGAAAGACTTCACAAAGAAGCGAACACTCAAAATGGTAAACACCTCTCTCACAAAGCACAACAAAGACTATTTTCAGATCTTTTCCCAGGAAATTAAAGGCTAGCAATTGATTAGCTAAAGTATCAGGTGACTCATTTCTTATAATTATGAAATAAAGATCAAATGTCAACTTGGTTTGGAAAGGATTTAAAGAATCAAACTAAGCAGACAAAACTAGGCTTAGTAAATTTGCTGTCAGTCTATCACAATTTGACTGATCTATCAAAATTTGGTCATTAAAACTTGCAAATAAATCATTTCTAGCAATTAGACAAGATCAACTACATAATTGCATTGAAAACTTTAATGAATCCTTTTCATCAGTTATCGAAAAGGTGATGAAATCAAGGAAGAGGAAATCTTTCCGAAAAAGCTCAAATGAATCTCCGGCTCTCTCAAGAGATATCACAATTTTAATGGACTTTAATAGAGTTGATTCCATGGACAAACCGTGGGCGCCACATTGACTCTTGTACAGAAAGCGGCGCTGAAAGGAGAAGGAGAAGAGGACTCGGATACTGCGGAATACTATGAATCGGATGAGGTAAGGATAAAAAAACTCTAGATAAATGATTTCTAGATATCTTATTGTACTAACGAGCCTTATCTTACTGAGCTTACCCTAGGCAACTGTTGACCATCTAGATTTCGGAATTTTTTCATTCTATCAACTAGCCTAAGATTGAAAAAATGAAAAGCTATTCCTAAAAATCAAACCTAAATTTCCTTTCATTCAATTTCATCACTTTCTATCTGATTGGGTAGATGTAATGATTTGTAGAAAGGAGAAGAGAAGGGACTGACTGGATACTTGAATTCGAGTGCGCGTAACATACAGACGTACAAGAGTGAAGGGTTGGGAGATGTACCCCAACTTGAATCCAAAGAGAATGAGGAAAAAGGGAGAATGAAAGGGAAAGAGAAAGAGAAAGAGAAAGAGAAAGAAAATTGGTTCTTTCACGTATCAATCCATGTGTCACCCGATGGAGAATGAAGAATTTGTATTTTAGTGGCCATTGAAAAGGTGGATAATTCTGTAAAGGAAAAGAGCTCTTGCAAGAAGTACAAGTTCAAATCTAACAATGAGAAAAGTATAAATTTAGACTTTTAGAAGAAGAATTTAGAAGATCTAGCTTAAAAAAGTAATCAAAAAACATTACGAGACTTTTCAACAACAAGTTTTGTCAACAAGTGATTGCAATAATAGCATAAAAGACTTTAAAAGCTGGAAGTTTTCAAGCTTTATGGTAAAAAAGATAAATTCAAAAACACTCACCAAGAGAAACGTATCCAAATCGTACCACATATCGTTGTGTCCTCTGGCCGTTCCGTGAACTAGACCCGCTCTGCTTACCAGGCCTGCTCCGGACGGCTCACGAGAAACCCTAAACATTCGTGATCAAATTGAGATTGAAAATTTTAGACTTAAACAATAGAAACTAGATAAAAGTTAGAAAATAAAGAAAACAACTTACGCCCTCGGCATCTTGGATTAAGCCAAAAAAAGGAGGGCTAAAGGGGGCGCCCAGAAGAAAAGTATTAAAGAAATGAGATGAAATGGAGTTTCCGGATGGTAACGGTGCGGTTTGGGGGAAGGTCTTGATGCTGCCAACACGCAGGCGTGAATAGGGGAGACGTGAAAGAGAAGAGAAATGGAAGAAGAGAGACTGAAGGGATGGGCAAGCACCAAGGGGATGCGACTGGGTGTGTGCGATCGGAAGGAAAAGGGGCTGCGGATGCGGGATGGTCTCTCAGAGGGGGAAAGGGTGGATGGAGAGATCGATGAGAGAGATCAGAGAATTCTATGGATTGAGAAGATTGTATAGAGTTTGTATAGAGTTGCTTTCTTCATTGGCTAATGCTCTAATGGGTATTTTAGAGAGCTACCGTAATCAAATCGTTAGTTTACATTAGAAATTAAAGCTTGCTGATAAGATTGATGGACAAGATGGAAGTTTGCATAGATCTAGAGCTTGTAAAGCTTAGATCTACCGTATGGTTGGAGAATAAAGTTTGATTTGAATCTCTTAATGTGAAGATCTTTTCATGGATTCAAGAGTTGGTCTAAAAATTAAGCCCAAAGTCATTCTAAACTTTCTGACTGAGAATTCTAGTTGATTTTGGCTTTGATAGTGTCTACAATACTGTCTTATTACTAACAATAAGTACTAAAGCACAATAAGTACTAAAGTACTAAAGTACTAATAGCAATAAGCGCAGTTTTTACAGTGTTATTGGTGTAGTATAAAATTCAAACTAATCAACTTCACCAATGCTATCAAAGTAATCTTTTTTGACCGTCTAGACACTAATAGAGGTAAAGAGACAGTCAAACGATGGGGGGAAAAGACCGGATTGCTCTATCGTCAGTCTTTTTTTTTCTTCTCTTTCTTCCAGTCTTTAAACTGACACCGGGACCTCCATTCTAGGTGACATTTCAGGGAAATGGTTACACTGAATGGAATGGCAAAAACAGTCAGGCTTAGTGAAACTTGATTTGAGTCACTTCCATTGTTGGACTCAATATTGACAAGCACTTTATGTGACCAAGCAAGCAGGATGGTGATGAAATTTTATGGAATGGTACTGACTGTGTGATTCAATACTTATAGATGATATCAAGTCTATTCTTTTAAAGCTATGGTCTTGGTTTTGACTTGGTTTGAGCCTTATTGGCTTTTCGAAACAGGCTTGACATCTCCGACAGTTCAAAGTTCTCATATTTTCTTCTAGGGATTCTGGATTTTCTTCAGTTTTGTGTTAAATCAATTGGATTAAGTAGAAATGTTTTCTAAGTGTAATTTGAGCGTAAAAATCGAAACTCAGCCCTTCTGGTGCTAGAAAAACAGGATTCAGTGTGGCAGAAAGGGCCTAATAGCCCTTTTGCAAGTTCTACAGACTTTAGGCTTTTGTTTTAGGCTCAGAAAATGGGAACACATCCTTTCTAGTGCACTAAATTCTCTTTTTTCTAGTTGTACCCATTGATGAGTGCACCAGAAGGGATGCGCTTCGATTTTTACGCCAAAAGTATGCATGTCTACTCAATCAAATAGACTTTGAACACCAAAAAAAAATCCAGATTTCCCTTGGGTGTGAAAATATGAGAACCTGTTGAAAGGGGGTCGTTGGAGTTGAGGAAAAAGAGATAGCAAAAAAAAGAGGAGTGCAAATTGGGGTCTCTTTCTCTTTTTTTTGCACTTTGCCGATAGGTTTGCTACATATGTTTGCACTCAATGAGCTTCCGAAGATCAAATACTTTCTAACTGGATGTCTTTGAAGACTCTCTCTCTCTCTCACAACCAACACACACCACAATCAATCCACTTTGGTGTATTTTCATCGCGGGGTTAGACTGTTCAATGGGAATTTTGTGAAAAGACAAAAACGTTACAGGTTTTAAGTATGAAAATTCAATAAGTAAAGTAAAATAATGAATTTTGGCAACTTCTGGATGAAATTTTAAACATCTAGTGATTAATAAAAGTCTACTGATTATCGAATTTTATTAAATCTTTCAATTTTCCAGTTTGGTTTGTAAAACTAAGTTTAAAATAAATCAAAAACTGCAAAATTTTGTTAACAGTATGTCTATTTTTACAACTTTAAAGCTTTTTTACAAAAACTTAAACAATTCTTTAAAGAATTTTTTAAATACTTTGCAGATTTCAAATTTATAAACAGTCAATGTGCCTTTGTACGAACATCAACTTGCTATTTGCTTTGACTTCTGAAATCAAGACGCAGATCGAGAAAAAAACAAAATCTCGTGCGTTTGACAGCAGGGAAAAGAGGGAAGGGAGCACGTCATTCATCTGATCACATGTTTTCATCGTTGGATCGATTAGGAACATTGGATGATCAAAAGTTGTATCAAAATTGGAAACAAGACTCATTGCTTGTTAGAGTATGACTGATTATGTGTATTTTAGAAAAATAGGAACTGTTTTTAGAAGGTATTAACTGAAAAGCATATAGTTTAAGAAAAGAGAAGAAAATGAGAGCTTTAGCTCCAGCTTTACCTCTCATTAGTAAATTGAAGTTGAATCCCTTCAAAAAACGTCAGTGAATTGAATTGTTGCTGTTTTAAACTAACAAATTAAATTGAAATTAATATGATTCCTTTGCAAGGAATAACTGGAAAAGTACCGAAAAGTTCATGGCTCAGATTTGAACAAACTAATCAAAAACTTTAAAATGAAAGAAAACGATTGTCTTGATCAGTTGGAATAGCAGTGATTGTATCAAAGAAAGACTCGGCACCGGCACAAAAGCTATAGCAAAAGCGTGACGTGAATGGTCAGCCTTGAAGCTGACAACAATAAGCCGCTTAAGGTATTCCCGGAAGAAAATCGCGTGATCGTTGTTTTCCGTCGATGAATAGCGAACAAAAAGACAAAGATGACCATAGAAAAAGCTGATCAAAAGACAAGGTGAGAAGAAGTGATTGTGGCACAAAAAAAGAGGAATACACGGAGGCCTGCTAAACCTCTAATGCGACGGGATCAGCCGCCGCTTCCCCTTTCATTCACTTCATCGACAAAGGACTCTTCGGCCAGTGCTTTTCGGGAAAAGGATTCAAGAGAGGTGTCATGTGTCCGCTTTCTTTTCAAGCCTTTCCCCTTTTTTACCACACCCAATGTTTTTCAGGCAATCGAAATGAGCCGAAAAATTGAAATCTGGATATATAAACTATCGCTCGTGGTATTGAATTTGTGAGATAACTTTGGATAGATTATTTTTACCGTTGCGACACTACTGAAGTTGAATTTGACGAATATCTAGACACTGCTCAAACTAAACTTGTCTTTGTGGCTATTTGCTGATAATCTTGGCTTTGTGAAACAAGAAAATAAGCTTATGCTTTGAAATTTAAGAAATAAGCTGAGGCTTTAGCTGAGGCTTTAGCTGAGGCTTTAGCTGAGGCTTTAGCTGAGGCTTTAGCTGAGGCTTTAGCTGAGGCCTTAGCTGTTTAACTGCTTTTCTATTTATATTTAAATCATTGATTAGAATATTAAACAAGAAATCATCAAAATGAGGTAATTTCAAATTTCAAATCAAATCAATAATGAAAGAAAAACAGCAAAAATGAGATTGAATTTTTTATTATAGAGTCTTTACTTGGTGTAGTGCTTCTGGAGAAAAGCCGCGACTTTCGCATCTGATAACTGTCATTCAATTTCAATTCAATTTACTATGAGTAATATGGTATTTGAGAAAAACATCGATTACTTACCAGCGGCCATAATTTGTGTCCTTGGTTATCTGAATTTCTTTGCTCTTTCCGGCTTTCAAAGCCGGTCTGAAACTTTAAAAAAGATTTTCGAATTTGGACATAAAGACATACACTACTGGACAATGAAATATCATATTTGAAAAAAAAGATCGTCACTTTCGCGCGTCTGTAACTCCCTTGTCTTTGAGTTTAAACTATTAGTGTAATACATTTTCTGAAAGCTATTTTCAAGGGCTACACAATGGTAATATTAATATTTAGAAATACGGTAAAGACAAGGGAGTTACAGACGCGCGAAAGTGACGAACTTTTTTCAAATATCATATTTCATTGTCCAGTAGTGTACATGTACATAAAAAAAATCCTATTGCTATTGCCAAAGAAGAAACTTATTTTGCACAGTTGTTTATATGTGCATGTGCTAGTTTTACTTCCACCCATAACGATAACAATAGCTTCCATTCCCGCCTCGCCTCGCATTCTTGTAAATGCAGCGTTTCAGGCAGCGTATCTTTTTAAACATTTTTTTCGATAGCAATGCTCATGGTAATGAGTTTTGCAGATAGTTTGCTTCGTGTTCTGTTCTGCGTTTGCTTGTTCGCAATTGCCACGGTGTCCACGTGATTTACCGGCAATTCTTGGGTGATTGAAAGAGATCGTTTGAATCCAAACTACCGTGTTCTTCACCATTCAACAGATCGTCATGCTTTTTATTGTGTTTCTTCAAATCATCTTGAAAAGCTCAAGATTATGGCGGGCCTGGGATTTTTTTCTTTTTTTTTTATTTATTCCCACCCCCCAAAAAAAACCCCCTCCCCCCGGGAATAGTCGTTTTATGATTTTATCGCGCATTCATGATCATTTTATTTTTAGTAATTCATTTTAAGAGGATTTACACCTCTTAAAAAGCTTTGCAATCTCTTCGACCAAAACTTCCTATCTCTGAATATTTCTGTGACTTTTTGTGGGCGATTTCAGCTAAAATATTCTATTGGACACAAATTTGTGTGGGTTGGGGAAAGGAGATGAATTTGGAGATGCAAGTTATTTTAGGGAAATCGGAGATTCAAGGAAAGATTAATATTCATCAGCGCTGACGATATGAGAAGTGATTTGCAATGAAGAGATGAGGGAAAAGATCAAAAAGAGAACTTTACTGAAGGAAAAGACTTCATTCTAATTATACTTGTTGAAAGTGATTCTAGGATTTTCAGTGAATCATTTCCGGGTTCATGAGTCGAATGTTTTAGATT